ACTGCTATTTGGTTGTGGTGTATGTAAAGTGCTGCTAATGGGGCAAACTGGTATATTAAGCTTTTCCCAAATTCCGTAGGAAGAAGAGCAATAACATTTTTCCCCTTGATTAAATTCACAAAACGTTCTCTTTGTTCCAGCTTTAAATCCTCGATCTCAGGAATTGTTGCCAACACAGAGTGTAAGGCTTCGTCTACATCAATCTTGACCGCTTTGTTTACTGTTGTGCTGTACCACAAAAGGGACCCAGACAGGCGCTTGAGTTTGACGTCATGACTTCACAGCTCTTTTCTGACTGGCCAGTGTGCAGTCTACAACTTCCGGGGTTCTTGCAAACTGTCTAGTGTATTCCGATTCCTGATGTAGTCGCTGGAGAGAAATGAAATTGAGCAGAAGCCCTAGGTCGCACCAGCCTGGCTAAAACTATGTAACTTTTCTGGTAGAGAGCCCACATTGTTGCTTGTTTCCATAGAGATGTTATAGGTTCCCCTGCAGTGTTTAAAGTATGGCATTAAACTTATCGATCTCCATAGACAAACATGAGATGCACCAGGTCAATTTACAGGTGAGATCTGTGAAGAGGTGACCCCACTCACAGTCAGAATGCAAGGTATTTTTAAGCAATAAAACACTCTTAATTGAATAAATTAATTATATAAGTTTAATACAATACTGTGGAACTTTACAGACAAAACAATATCATCTCTGTAGTCCCTCAACCTGAAGCTACGCAGTTCACCTTCAACCTTTTTGCTTTTTTACACGCGCATGTACAAATCCCTGAACATGAGGACAGGCTTATACCCCCTGTTATGTTGGTCTGTGGGGCAGCTCAGAGTGCCACTGTCCTGTCACATGTCACTGGGCTAATCAATGAGCTCTAAGCCCTTAGCGGTCCATCCCCGGTCAGCCTGGGTTAAGCTCCATAGATCCCTGCGTTAGACTCTCTCCCAGCATGCCCCACTGTCGCTGCTAATGTACTGTCTGCAATCAGCATGAAAGTGGTAAGAGCTATTATGAGATGTATTAAGTGATTATCGTACAAAGACAGGATGAGACACAGATCTGAAGAGGTAATGAAAATAACTGGCACTTTCTTCATATTATAATCAGAGCTAAGCCTCTTGTAAAATCAATAGAAGTGGGGAATTGGTCAAGTCTAGACCAATTACTTTGCTATTTCTACAGACACCAAGTGAATGTGGACGTTTACTTTTGTCATTTATTTGAGGATATATTGTAATGTATTTTCATATTCCCCGTGGCAAAAATATTTATAATATGTATGCAATAATATCTGTAATTAAAGGTGCATTATGTGACTTTTCTGGTGAGGGAGGGATCCGCCACCAGCTTGTCTCCATAGAGAGGTTATTCCTTTGCTTGGATATTTCACAGTATGGCATTAAGCTTATCGATCTCCACAGAGACAAGCAGGCGATGCACCGAGCCATGTTCCAGATCAGACGTGTGGAAGAGGAACTCAGTTTGTAGTAGAAACGCATGTTATTTTTGAGCAATTACAAACACCTGCAATTTAATAAATATTCAACATTGATGTTCATCGTCATGCTGTGGAAAATTCCAGTAATTACATCTTCATGGAGACAAAAATGTGGCACACCAACCACTAGACAAGTTACCAAGTGCACTTTTATTTTAATACTTCAACCATTTTAATACTAATATTGAGTAAGTGGCTTGGAATTAAAACTATACTAGTTAGTGAGACCTTGAGGCCGAAATATAAATATGATTATGTTATATTTTTGTTAGGGTGATGGGACATAATATTGTAAGGAAATTTGTCCTCTGTAGTTGACCCATGCCTCAGTGCAACTGGAGCAAACTGTCAGGAGCAGTGGATGACTATTCAGTAGGGATGTAACAATAACCGAAATATCGTGATATCGTATCGTCAAAGTTCTCACAATAATATTGTGGACCATCACAATATATCGAATTACAAGTCTCTTTGCTTAAATTAAGAGTTATGCTGCAGCAATAGCTAAAAAAAAGACAGAGGGAACTACATCGACCATGACCCTTTGCTCCATTTCAGTGTAGACTACATGAAGAAATAACAGTTCTAAGCACTTTTAAGTCTTAGTTCTTTGGGTTAGGTCTTGTCAAGGCATTTTAAGAGGAAAAAGTAGCATATCCACAATTTTGAGCCTCCACAAAATAGTGATCCACAAATAGTGATTGTAAGGTTTGTACCGTGACATTATCATATCGTGAGACTTGGATGTTGTTACACCCCTACTATTCAGTGATAACTTAATGAGATAGTGACTTTCTTTGGGGAATGTTTAATATTCAAATTGTTTTATGGTGTTAATAATAGGCACTTCTATACTTGAAAACTGTGAACCATAAAAAAATATTACAGACCACTGATATTTCAAATGCATAAAAGTTGTTTGCAGCTTTTCACACAAACTTCAAAAATAAGCTAAACTAGAACACTCTTTGCCTCCAACTAAAGCATCAATTTCAAATCCACACAACTGTGAATGATCTGACAGCAAGTATCTGATTAAACTGGGAACTCCACTGCACACTTCATCACAACTAAATCCCAAGGGTGGAAAAATAATACAATTATATGATACAGAGAGATTCTATCTGAGAGAAAATGTGCAAAGACAAACTCCAGCTTTAAACTTGTGACCTCTCCTTCACTGAATCCTCTTTTCAATTAGTCTCAAAGGGAAACGCAGGATCTGAGAGGAGCAGCTCTGGGTCAAGATGTCAGAACACAGACAACGGGACAGAGAAAGGAAATAATATAGTCACCGTGCGATCAATGAAACTCACTATTGACGGATCACTTAGAGCAGGCGGCTTACATAATGATCTGTTTGCCGCGTAATTGAGTGCCCATGTAACTGACATGCGAAATGGAGTTGGTTAATAAATCCATGTGTTTGAATCAGAGGTGGGGAGTGCTCAGTTATATGTGTGTTTTAAAGAAATAGTACTTTTCAGAGTAGTTTTTCTGACACTTAAAATCATGAATAAGTACTTACTAGGGGCTTTAGATTCCCTATTAATCTATTCATTTTTTATTCATTTTTCATTCATATTCATTTTTTACTGCGTAGGCTTATAGTTTCGAAAATGTTAAACAATTACTATAGTCAGGCAACAGTAGCAGGGTTTTGTATTATATAAAAGTCCAATAAATCTGTAAAACTTCCTTAAATGTAACTTTTCTGTTAGAGGGTGTTATTTTGGACTTTGGCTCTATGTTTTACAAAATGACAATAAACTTATATCTCCATGGAGACAAGCAGTGATGCCCTTAGGCAAAATCAGATCTGTGAGGATGCACACCCGCTCTCAGAAAGAACACTGTTTGTCAAGGTATTTTTGATAAATACCTTGAATAAATGCAAAATATGTGTTATGGCATGTTGAACAATCCAAGCAAAGCAATATCTCCACGAAACCAAGAAAGTCGTGAACTGCTCCCAAAAGAAAATTTACAAAGTGCAACTTTAAATCATTTCTCAAAACGACTAAAAACTATGTCTATATAACAGTCTTGCCCCCTTTGAAGTCCACTCGGGTCCGGAAATCCATTTTCCACTCATTTTTCCCCATAGACTTACTAAAAAATAAAAATATTAAGTTCAAAGGCATGGAGGAAGCTAATATCTGCAATACAGTTGTTTTAAGTCCAAAACGCATATTTAAAATGAAACAGACTTTAAATAAAATGATAGGTCTTGTAGTTACCATATACTTGATAAGCCCTGAGCAAGCAATCAAACCCTTATTTATTTATTTATTTATTTTTTATTCATTTATTTATTTGAAAGTGTTGTTTAGTTTAGTCTATGGGAAAAATTAATGAGAAATTTACTTCTGGGACCAGGGGGTTGGCAGTCACTGTTGAGCTCCATATGGGTGCTCCTTTCTCGGACAATTATGTTGTTAAAAACCCTTTAGAAACTTTTCTGAAAAAATTAGGATAAGTATAACATGGGCAGCCGCAGCATTATAAATTAAGTGTGTAAATTAAACTGTGTGGCGAACATTCAAGTGAAACTAAAAACTGTCATGGAGTGAAACTAGAAACAAACCAGCTGCCATGCCATTGCTGTAGGTGTGACCTTACCCTGGTAGTTGCTTGGCCACGCAAACTCACACATATACGAGTTTCTTTTCCTCTCCAAACCTGCTCCACCACTCTGCCAATTTCTAGAGGAGTCTGTATTGCTAGACTGGTTTGTTACACACTTTGGAAAAATGTAGCACATGGAAACTACAAGGTTGGCACTGAGCAACTACACCTAAAAATATTATTGCTATAGCCTATTCTCCCAAGGTAATGTTTATTGGGCATGTCTGCTGCTTGGCGTGGCATACTAGAGTTTTCATGGATTATTAAAGAGCGCTGGAAAAAAGAGGTGGTTTTACATAGCTCAGCCTGGAAATGTCTCCACAACAAATAGATGTGAATAGGGTTGGTGATTGCATAACAGTGACAATGAGGCACTGAACATTCACACCATAGAGGCAAAATAATGCTTCTCCCTGTAAACAGCTTCAGCAATGTGGACAATATAATGCCAGAAGTGTCCTGGGTAGATTGGGGAAAGAGGCAGACTGATATTGAACCTGGCAACTAGATCAGTACTAAAAAATCACTACCCAAAAATTAAACTGAAAGCTGGTGACACACTGAATTGATTTTGCTTAATATTAGGAAGGTTGCCACTGGAAAGTCAATGAGAAATCCTGGAAAAAATCCTTCAATATGCTACTGATCCATAAATAGAGCAGCCTATATTGGGGGGGATCCTCTGCTCGTAGCGCGTACAAGCAAGCCATGCCAAGGGAAAGCGGTAAAAAAATGACAAGAATATCATACCTAAATGGTGTATTTCGGATTTGGGAAGGTATTTTTGCTATATTTATAGGGTACTGTGCAGGTGTCATGATAATAGGCAATAGGAATGACAGCAGCAGCGCTTTCTCCATATACTCACCCCATTGCCGTGGACTTGAGGAACAACTCCTTAGAAAAATACCGCTGCAGAGAAGAATCCTACTTATTGAAAAACTGTCAAAAAGCAAAGTCCACGGATAATTATCTAGCTCTCCAATGAGTTCATTCCCTGTGCAGCAAGCTTCTTTTTCTTCTTAGCGTTTTCACTCCTTCTTCACGGGGTCTGTTTCTTTCTTTCGCTCGCTTACTGCCAACAGACAAGTGCGTAATATGAGATCACTTCGTAAACTACATTCACCGGCTTGTCAAACTCAAGAAGTTTTACCTCCTTCACGGCGAGCTAACGCGGTGAGATTATCCGTAATGTTCTCCACGCAGTCGCCGAGTAATTAAGTTGATACGTGCCTGTCAAGTGTCCTCGCTGCTCGGTGTAGTTTGCTCGGTCCTCCCCGATGGGATTGCGCGGAGTGAATGGAGACAGTAGCGACACGGAGCGGCTTCCACCTGCTCGCGCACGCTGCATCTGCCGGACCCACGAGCCGCCCACACTTTGGTTGTGTGGGCTTTGCGGTAGCGTTGACAGCGACCTGAAAGATATAAAGTTTACACAAAAAGCATATAATAAAAATAAAACCTTTGCTTTAATTGATAAACATGGAGATTTTTGTACAGCAAGTGGAAATGTTTTACTATTTTTTGCCATGGGAGGGGGAATAATCAAATAACGGAGTGGATGTAACCATAGCGACGGGTCCAGCACTGCCAAATAAGCGTAATTATTGTAGTTTTTATTTGTTAAAACAAGCATTAATACTTCACCTAATATGTTATTGCTGTTATTATTTGTAATTATTATTTTTATTATTTTTATTTTTTTTATTTTTTTGACAGATATTTCTATGGGTAGGCAAGGTTTGCAAAGTGTGCGTTACTAGGAACCATAAAACTTTCCGCCGCGTTTCCGGGGGAGCATTTCCGTCAACGGACAAGCAGAGTGAGCTTGTTTGTTTAGTTTTGCTTTTGAGGTCGTAAATTTGTATTCATTTCGTGAATTTCAGGTAAGATTTCTTCGATCGTTTCTTGTTTCGTTGCTATGCTGTTTGTAATGTTGTGTATAATAGTCTGATTTAGCGTCGTGTATGTGTTTTAACCGTTCCTCAAGCTGTCTCTAACTCACATGAGAGCTGCTTATTCGTTCATTGTAACTCCAGCTGCTAATCAAGATGTTGTTATAGTATGGCTGAAACCACAAAGAAGGATGAGACAGCGGAGGATCCTGAGGACTACGAGAAGTTGTTCGCACACAGGTTTACCTCAGAAGACCGCGAGTATCAGGAATACTTGAAACGACCGCCCGACCCGCCTCCCATTGTGGAAAACTGGAGGGGCCGCGGTGGAGGAAACCACAGAGGCAGGGACAACAGGTGCGCTCCTGAATCATTCATACATGAACAGCTCTGGGGCACAACTGTTTAGACACTCACACAGGCTCTCACACAGGCTCTCACACAGGCTCTCACACAGGCTCTCACACAGGCTCTCACACAGGCTCTCACACAGGCTCTCACACAGGCTCTCACACAGGCTCTCACACAGGCTCTCACACAGGCTCTCACACAGACTCACAGACACACAGACACACAGGCTCACACACAGACACACACACAGAGGCTCACACACAGACACACACACACAGGCTCACACACATAGGCTCACACACAGGCTCTCACACAGGCTCACACACAGGCTCACACACAGGCTCACACACAGACACACACAGACTCACACAGACTCACACAGACTAGGGATGTGAATATTTGGCAAAAACACTTTTCGAAAATCAATGACAGCTATTCGAATATTATTCGAAAACCGACCCCCCCTTCCCCCGCCCGCACGCACACGCGCATATACGAGATGACAGATGGGGTATTTAAGTGCAAAAGTTTTAATCAAACAGCAACCTTCCAAATCAGAAATGAGCATCTTAATTGAGCAACCCACATATGAAACAATATGAAATTATATTCAAGACTATCTCAATTTTAAAAACGCATGACCAAGCACATACTGTAGCCCACTGCTACACACACTAACACAGACACACACACAGACACACACACAGACTCACACACAGACTCACACACAGACTCACACACAGACTCACACACAGACTCACACACAGACTCTCACACAGACACTCACACAGACTCACACACACAGACACACACAGACACTCACACAGACACTCACACAGACACTCACACAGACACTCACACAGACACTCACACAGACACTCACACAGACACTCACACAGACTCTCACACAGACTCACACAGACTCTCACACAGACTCTCACACACTCTCACACAGACACTCTCACAGACACTCTCACAGACACTCTCACAGACACTCACAGACACTCTCACAGACACTCTCACAGACACTCTCACAGACACTCTCACAGACACTCACAGACACTCACAGACACTCAGACACTCTCACAGACACTCTCACAGACACTCTCACAGACACTCTCACAGACACTCTCACAGACACTCTCACAGACACTCTCACAGACACTCTCACAGACACTCTCACAGACACTCTCACAGACACTCTCACAGACACTCACACAGACACTCACACAGACACTCACACAGACACTCACACAGACACTCACACAGACACTCACACAGACACTCACACAGACACTCACACAGACACTCACACAGACACTCACACAGACACTCACACAGACACGAAGACCCATCAGGAAAACGTTTAGTAATACAAGTAGCATATTGTAATATTGACATTTTGGTTTCTACAATGATGGTGTGACTTAACTCAGTCATCTGGAAGCTACATGCACAATACAGTAAATATTCTTAATGTTGAATATTCTCCATTTCACAAAAGGATCAAAAGTTACACACAGACACATTACGATGAAAATAGGACAGGAGGTGGCAAATGACTAGCTGTAGTTATCAATCAGGGCAGCCGCGGGGTCTTAAATGTCTTAAAAAGGGCTTAAAATAAATTCATGTTCCTAAATTAAGGCCTTAAAAAGTCTTAAAAATATGTTGTCCAAGTCTTATTTTTTTCACAATAGTCTTAAATTTCATTTGCCTATTTTTTTGTATACTCAACCGGGCTGCAATGCAATGTTAAATGGAGGGAGGGGAAAAAAACAACAATGTGAAATAATGTAATGTGAATGAACGCCTAATTTGGAGTATGCACAAACAATACTTTGGTTTCTGGCGCCGGCGGCAATGAGTAAACAATCAGTAGAGTGTAGGAAGACGTTGGATGGATCATGGGGGAGCGTAGGTTTAATCCACAGTGGCTCTTAGATTCTAGATTTAGTACTGGTAGTTGTTTGGTCATTATTAGAATTGGATCTGGTGTTTTTCACCCACATAATGGTTGGTCTTAATTTTCATTTACGTGGTCTTAAAAAGGTCTTTAAAAAGTCTTAAATTTGGGGTAGTCAAACCTGGGGGAACACTGTCAATTCACTTGTCCTATGGGTACTTTTAGATGCAGTATCCAATTGAAATGTTAAATGTTTGAATTTGTTTTTTTTAGGTACCAGGACCGGCGGGCGTACGGAGGTCGTGGTTGGGGAGGGGGCAGAGATTATGGCGGAGAGCGTGGCTGGAGAGCGGAGCACCGGGGGCAGCAGTGGCACGACCGCGATAGAGACAGGTCCTACGGCAGGGATCGAGACAGGGACCGGTCGCCCCACAGAGGTGCAGAAAGGTCCTGGGACAGAGACCGAGACAGAGCAAGGGAGTACCGTGGAGGTTATCAGTCCCACCCTCAAAGCTCCAATCAGGTTTACAGCCAGAGACCACAGTACGACCGCTACTAATGCCTCTCAGGTTTTCTCAGTATTTATAAGGACATTAAACTTGTATTGAAATTATAGATGTATGGAAATGCACAATAGTTGAATCATATCTTTTTACATATGCCTCAGTGTTAGAAGGGGTGACTGGCTGTATCAACTCAAAAACTCAGCCTGTGTGTGATTTTAAAGCAAGAGGATAAAACGTTATAAATGCAACTACAGTTCTATGAATCTCGAATGAGTAGGGATGAAACAGAACCTTTTATTATTCTCAGTGCTTATAGCAGAGGCAGAAAAATATAAAGGTGTAGGAACATTAGTCAAAACATTAGTCAAAACAGCTATTTCCCACATAACTCACATTTAAAAATGTTTCCACTAAGTGGAGAATTAAATTTTTCAAATCAGGCTGAGAAAGCCTGAAGGAGTTACTCCAAATGTGACATATAAATTGATGCTTTTCTTGTTTCCCAGGTTTTAAAATGGACAGAATTCAATTTTTTTCCCCATTTTTGTCAGCTACGTTTAGGGCCATCTTAAAATACAACACAACTGCACTGAAATGGCTAGTGATTTGGGTATGGGAAGGCGTATTAATGCTACTTTTAACATATTTTTTGAGGAAACCTATGTCGACTCTAACTGATTTGTATTTCAGTTACGTCTTTTTTTTTTTCTTGTGTTTGTTTTTGTAAAACTGCTGTATGACGTGTACGACGGCAATGAATTAACTGAAGATGACCATATTTTTCTGACATATTGTAGGAATTAATTCATCAGAACTCAATAAACACATATTTTCATACAAATTGTTATTCTTTGTGTTTTCCATTTTTCACATTTATTATGGTATCACATTTTACTGTTGACGTTAAAAAGTGCATTGTTTATTTAAAGTGTTGGCAGAGCAAAGTCTGATTAATTCTCTACATTTTTTAACTTAACAGAAAAAGAAAATATACCTAGCATATGCTAGGATCCAATACAAGTGAGTCTTATATTATTTATTTGGAGACAATACACTATAGTAGACTTTATATACAAACAAGACCAATTATCTAAATTCCAGACCCACTCATACTTCTGCCACCCTCCATCTTTGTCTGAATTAGCCTTGACACAGCAGTCAGTGGTGAGACCTTCTAATTTGCACTGATTACAGCTCCAGTGCCTCTCTCACTTTCTCTCTCTCTCCAAGTGCCTCCCCCATGCGAGCCTCTGCTGCTTATCACAGCTGATTGCACAGCTCGGGCCCAAATCAAATGCGTTACCATAATCTCAGCCAAAGTCCAGAAATAGCAACAACTCCACAGAAACAATGCCAGTATATCAGCTGGGGAGTGGGTTAGCATGTCAAACCCTCAGGCACCACTTGTATGTAGTCTGTATGTTTATCCAATCACAACAGCATATAGACATGTTATTCAATTTTGGGGGGTAAAATGTCCCTTATTGCTTATATTTAATATGTATGTATTTGTGCCAATCTTACAGTTTTACTTTAGGGCAGAGGAATAAGATGGAGCACAATATAATATCTAGTAATTACTTAGCAACATCTACTCTACAGCCAGTATATTAACTTCCTTTAATATGTTATCTTTAATATGTTTATCCAGTCACAACAGAAAATGAGCATATTACTTAAAAAATAAGTTATTTCTTACATATGAGCTTATTTTTTATTTGTGGCAATCCTTTCAGAACTTTTCATTTCGACAAATTAAGAAGATGGAGCTTGAGATGGAAAAGGAGGAATTATTATTTGAGTTATCAACAGTGTTAACCCAAGGACGTTAGTCTTTTCCATTATTATTAGGGGTGAGAGCTTATAAAGTGACAATTCATCCCACTCCTGTTCACACATATGGATAAATTTCTATTTTTTTGTTTCTAAGATATCTATTTTTCTTTCTTTTTTTTTTTCTATGTGCCTTCTTCTCCTTGATTGTTAAGTTGCTTTTTGTGTTAAAGACAACTATGCATAACAAAAAATAATATTCTCTGCAAAAGTCCAGATATAGCAAAAAAATATGTATATTACAATTTTTTTTTGGAGGTTAAAGTATCGCAGATTCACAGATTGCTTCTATTTGAGCTTATTTCATATTTGTGGCAATCATTTTAGAATTTTATATTTTGGCAAATTAAGAAGACATCATGTAGTTTATGTTTTCTATGGTTATCCACAACACAACACAAATAATACAAATAATACACATAATACACAACACATAATTGCAGTTATTGAATCTTCTTTTTGCTTTTTGCTCTGCTCCAGAAAGTTTGACTTGCTCCCCGTTTCTCCATTAAAACTATAAACTTATAAAATGTTGTTATGTCATAAGCAACTGAGCAGTAGGGATAATTAGGGGCGGACATCTTTAAACAGTGAGCTGTGGCCAATGAAGCGTGTAGAAATAATGTATTAATGACATCCATGAATAATTAAATGTCTCCCCTTTGCAGTTATCAGTCCTCTTCTGAGCTGTGAGCTTCAGGCTAAATGTAGTTACCCTTTTTTTCTTTTGGGGTCAGATTAAATACTTTTTTGTGTTGTAATTATAATAAAACCATTCCTGTCAGGATATTACTGACTGAAATGATGCCGTCAAAAAGACACAATAAGTACAATAAATAAAGTACATGCATGGAAGAAAGCAGGATTATTTTTACAGTGTTGACTCTGGTTTAATCTGATGTCAACAATATAAACTGAACATTGTGACTTTTTGACTCTGTTATTGGATAAAGCTCTTTAGGATTACATAGGCTTTGCCAGATGTGCAGTTACGGTGAGTTGATTCCTTGAAAGTAAAAATATACTGTATTAGGAAAATAACCTATATTATTTAGCACTTTAAAATCCATTTGATAAAAATTAAAGCTGCTACAGTAAATAACAAGCAGTTATTTAAGATACACTGTGTAACTTGCCGTGTGCGCCATCTGCTTGTTTCTTTGGAGATGTAGTAGCATTGCCTGGAATGTTCCACAGCATGGCATTAAATTTAAGTACATACTAGTACATTTAGACAAGTGTGGATAAGTGACCCCATATGAATGGATGTTTTTTTTTTTTTTTTTTGCAACACCTGTAAAGGCATAATCACAAGACAGATAAGTATTAAAATGCCATATTGTGGAACATTCCAGACAAAGCAATAGCATCTCCATGACAACAAGCAGGTGGCGTGACCCTCCACTAGAAAAGCAACAGAGTGGTGCTTTAAATAAATGTGCAATTGTATTTATTAGGCAGCACTATCAAAGATAATTCAGTGTTGAGTGTTGATTGTTTCCTTCTAAATCCAGACCAAATCCACACAGATTATGTTGTGTCTCATTTTAGACCAGCACAGCCAAATAAAAATGAAAATGTCCTACTATGTAAAATTGACTTTTGTGATCTTTAAGCCATGTTAGAATGTTGTTATCTCTTCAAAAACATACCTGGAGTTGTATGTTATTAGGTTCTTTTTTCAGACCAAGAGTTTTTTTTTCATACCTGACAGTTTCGACTGCTCAGTAGTGCTCTTCCTCAGAGTGGTCACGTGATGTTGCTGTGATGTGCCCACTCAGCTGATTTAAACAGGTTATGGCGCAGTCTTCCTACCAGTGGAGGCAGAATGACAATGCCATCTGCAGTCTGACAGTATCCCAGGTGTGTGAGAGTAAAAAAGCCCCCTCGTCCCAGTTTATAGTCCCGTGGGCACGTTTCTGTATTTCGAATGCTTCTTTAATCCAGTGGTGGTGTTTGTTTTCCTCTGCCCCAATAATGTTTGCTCCGTCCCAATCCATAATGTGGTTCTCTCTTTAACAGTGGTTAGAGATCGCCAATTTCAGTTGTTCCTTTTCTGCCTTGTGTTTTGTTGCTCATGTGCACGCCTTCGCTGTTTCCTTCTCACATTCTTTTCTATGTTCCTGCAGTTGTGTTTTGTTTTATTCACATGTTTGAGTACTAAGTCTTTTTTATTAGGCTGTCTACATCTCCAAAAAATTGCTCTGTTCTTGTGATGTCATGAAGTGGTAGTTTTTTTAGTTAGCATCTACCTTTACCTTTTGTTCAGTAGAGATTGGCAATTCTACGGTTAAAATTATCCAGATGATCCTAGTGAAGGTGCATGGAGTTTCTGCACTTTCTGTATTACCACATGAGTGTTTTCTGTTGGAGAGAAGAACTCAGGCGAAATATGCAGTGTTTGTGTGTTAAATCTGTGAATGGATCTGGGTATGTTTTTGATGAGGAAACAACATTATAACATAGAGCAGAAAAAAAGTAATATGAGCCCTTTGAAGCCTGTTACTTAGCTAAAAAGCTGAACTTCGTGACCAAGGATGGAGCCCTTTTGAATGGCATTATTTGCACACTGATGTGATGGGTAAAACAGGGCACTTCAGACCCAGTGAAAGTGCTGGTGATTCATCGCTGCTCACTTAGAGCGGTTTGAGACCAGCCGCCCACCACACATTAAAGACTGAACACAGCATTGTTCTCCTATGCAGTAATTTCAACATCGTGTATCAGGGTACATAAACGATCATTAACAGCGAGTGGGAGAGTGTATTGATTCAACCTTGTGATTAAAAGCTTTGGGGTCATGATATGGATATGATATGTTTATGGTAATTACGACAGAAGTTGAACTGGGGAAAGAACTATCTGGTAAACAAGATGAGCAGTGTGATGGCAGAGTGGTTAGCCTCAAATACATTCAGTTTATTTTTGTACTGTGAAAAACAAAATCTAGCCAAGTTAAGATGACTTGAATTAAGAAAGTTTTATCATGATCTGAATAAATTTCACTTGACAAGAAAAACTATCTGCCAGTGGAACAAGACTTTTTGTACTTTAAATATGAAAATACATCTTGCTACTTTTATGATAAGAAAAAACAACAACTTTTTGCACTTAAAATAAGACACAAAATCTAATGTTACTTGAATTAAGAAAAACACACTTATTCCATTGGTAGATAGTTACACTTGTCAAGTTGAATCTACTCAAATAAAGTAAAATGTGCTTAATTTAAGTCATTTTAATTTAACTAGATATTGTTTTTTTTTTTTCAATTTGTATACCGTGGGGACTGAACTGAACTGAAAGCACTACTCTGTTAGAAGCTCCAAGTTAGACTTTAAATTAATATGAGCTTTTTTTTTTTTTTTTTTTTTTTTTTTTTTAACAAGATCTGACCAGGAAGAGCTGATTTAGCTGGAACTACAAAAGGTGAGATAAACTTAGACTAAGACTAAGACTTAGACTTTATTGATCCACAAGTTAGGGTGACCAGATTTTCAAAATAAAAAACTGGGACCTCCCTGGTTTGGGTTGGTTGGTAATAATAATATTGTGAAACGAATGTGTAAAAAACGTGACCAGATCAAGTTACATGTTAGATCTGTCAGGTTTTTGGGCAATAAAAACAACTATAATGAAATAAATACGAGATAAATACATTTCATGCATTACTGTGGACCACTGAGGGCACAGCAATTACATCTCCATAGAGACAAGCAGGTGACGGACCCATCACCATAAAAATTATATCGTACACCTTTAAAACACCACTATTATTTTGCTTATTTGGCTGTTTCTTCAGTCAGAGCTGTGTGTCGTTGTGAGTAGGTGGTGATAGATTTCTCAGGTTAGATAAATCGTCGACAGCAGGATTCAAAAGCACCTCTGACAGAAACAAAATGTCCACTTCCTCCCACTGCCAAAGTGACTAATCCAATGTCTGAGTGAGCCCACAGAAGACCCCTGTAAAAATACATACTGCTAACTACTTTAAAGCATGACATGTTTTTTGAACATTTTTGACAGGACTGGACTTGACTGACACCTGAAGTTCTGTTGCCCAGTGGCGTTTGTGTAGTTTTGTGTTTGTGTTGAGTGTGGAGAGAGTGGTGGGGTGTGGAAGTTTTTATTTTTTCAAGATTTATATTTTGTCTATTTTAGTTTGTGTTATATGTATTCTCAAAACGAAACGAATGAGTGAATGAATGAATGAATAAATAAATAAATAAATAAATAACAAATGCATATACTTAAAGGTACATTGTGTAACTTTTCTGGTGAAGGGACCCTCAATAGTTTTTCTCCATGGAGATATTATTGCTTTGTCTGGAATGTTTCACAGTATGGCATTAAACTTTTCTGTCATCATGTAGAGACCAAACCAAACCAAGTTACAGGTTCAGAGCTGTGGCGAGGCGATCCTGCGATCACAGTCAGAATGCCTGTTTTTAGGTATTTTGAGCAGTAAAGCCACCGGTAATTGGATAAATCAGTGTAACGAGAGCTGTTTTAAGTCAAATGGTGGAACCTTTCAGACAGAGCAATGACATCTCCATAGAAATAAGCAGGTGATGGACCCCCAATCAAAAAATTACATGGTACATCTTTAGCATAGCCTCAGTAATTCACTAGAACACTTAGGCTCATAAGACGGTCCTGGGTTTGATCCTTATACTGTGAAAATTGTGAACCCTTTCAGCGTCTTTCTCCAAGGTTAAGATTAAGGTTGGGGTTTACTTTAAATGCAGGATTCATTCTGTGCGTTTGACACATCCTTCAATACCCCTGAGGAAACATGTCAAGAGCAGTCAGATGCTTCAGTAGCTCATAGACCCATCTCCAGATCTTGAGCTGGGCTTCGTCAAGGAGGCTTGGTCAGGCTAGAGGGTTTTACCAATTGTGTGTGTTTTGGTCTGTTTTAGTTTCTCAAGATCTGGTGTAGGGTCTCAAGGCTGCAGTCATCCAGTGCTCCAAAACCTTATGTGGGGTCATAGTAAGCCTTGACAGTGTTTAACAAAAGAGTGTAAAATAGTCTAAAAAGAACACAAACAAAATCTCACTTTGTTACTCCTTGTTTTGTCATTCACATAAAAAGTAAATTGTATGAAAGAAAATTATTCATCTATAAAGTGTTTGTGCCACCACAGTCTGAATGAAACCGATGGGAAACACAGGTTAGAGCCAGCCCAGGGGTGTGGCACCAAATCCTATGCAGTTTAGGTAGTAGGAAAAGTTGTAGGCAGTTTGTAAACTTGCAGTTTTTCAAAAATATTGTTGTTAATTAAAATTAATTGACAGCACTGGATCTATTTTTTGTGGGATATCATGTAAATTTGGCTCTTGTGTAACTAATTGTGGATTTATTGCATTTCTAAATGAGTTTCTACTTAGTGGTCATACGACACTAATTAGGGTAGTAAATTTACTCTTTACACTGATGGTTTTACACTTTTTAGTGGCCAAATGACACCAAATTGGATTATAATTATACTCGTCAAAGTGGCCAAGCACAACTAAATTGGATAAAAACTATGAATTTCATAGTGGCCAATTAGCACCAAATTAGATTATATTTTTACTCTTTAAAGTGACTGATTAACACTTTATTGTGATTAGAATAAGAGTTTAAAGAGAGTTTAAATTATACACTCTATAGAGTTTAAACAGCACTAAGATTTAGTCTGTGACTGACAGATAAGAGTACATTTTTACACTAGTAGTGTTGGAATTTTAATTTTCTAGATTAGTGTTCAAATAAAACTCTGAGGACAGTTTTTTTTTCCTCAAATACAAAGATCAGATCAGATCAGATCAGTGTTAAATGTATTCCTAAAGTGCAACATATACACTGTAATTTTTGCTGTGTACAATATGCCAGTCCAGTGCCCATGTTAAAATCTCTACCACTGGCAATATGTATGCTATTCATAACCTGTTAGACCAATTTACTACAGTCCATTTTGTTTTTAGATAAAAATTTTTGTACCATTTTATGTCAAGCCAATTCTACAATTATAGCAGAACATAAAAACTCCTTCACGGTCACTGGTAAAGGAACACACTGCACTGTCTGCCACTGGGGTCCATCATGTCCCAGGCCAACCCCAGTCACGCACCCGCTCTCCTCTCCTCCTCTGCACAGATGTAGGTCGGAGAGTGCTGTAGGGCTTTTTTGCGCGTGTGTGGGTGCATTGCGCGTGTGTGGGTGCACTGTGCGCGCTCAGACGCAGACAGTGGGTGCGCTGGAGCAGTGATTGTGGCGCACGAGTTCACCGTCAAGGACATGTCCCGGGGCGGTCCGTCTCCCGAGCTGTCACATCACATCGGTTTGGACGGGACACAAAGAGGCCAGGCAGAGCGCGAGACCAACATGGTGATTTTACACATGGCCATAAATAAATTAAGAGCGTGTGTTTTTGTTTGGCGTTTTTTCAAAGGCTATAATTGTTTTTTGCCAACTAACGTCACGCTGGGCACTCAGAGGTTGCATAATTAATATTGTGGTGGTCGGTATCTAAAGGTATTTCCATGGCTTTTTACTGCCTTATAATGCAGAGAAAGTTATAAGAAATGGAAACTCAAAATAATGGATTGCTACTAATTTGGAGGGCGTTTTCTTTGGAGACATCAGAAATTCTGTCTCCTCACGTGGCTTTTAACATGTTAAATATAGACTGTGCATGTGAATTATACAGATCATTTCATTTTCATGGTCCCTCTTATTACCCACATCAGATTTGGCAGTTTGCATGTCATTTGGATCATTTTAAAGGTTCAGAAATCAGATAATAGCCAGATTTCAGTGTGCATGTAAACAATGCCAGTGTTGTTGTTCTTGAGCTTTCAATAAAAGTTATTTATATCTAGAAGTAGGATTATTGGCAAATACTCATTATGTGCCTTTTTATGTTTCCTTTCCAATAAGGAAATCTCCAACTAGCGAAAAAAGAGGCTAAAGAAGTGCTTTCTCTTTACATTGAGTAGAAAAACCGCATCACCATTTTCATACGATTGGCCAGCAGATGGAGCTAGAGCATTAATGTTAAGTATTTAAAGTATAACTTTGCAAACTTCAGTAAGTGACATCCTCTGAGATTAATTTATTTTCAATGGTGTCTTTAGCGTTTATAAATTACAGCATCAGGTACCAATGGTAATGTTCAATACAGATATGTAGAATAACAATGCCAAAAACAAAAGACATCAGTGCACAGTGAAATTTATCAACAAAACGACAAATAATTACTGGTATGGCATCGGTTGACATACAGTGAATATACAGTTCAGCCCAAATTTATTTATATCTTTGATCAGCACAAAAACTAAAGGGTTGGGTGATGATAAAATAAATACAATTTTAAAAAATCCTAAAATTGACTCAATAACACGATGTGGCATGATTTACATTTCAAAATTTACAAGTACTCATGGAAAAGATTTGAATAGTACTTTTTGGTAGAGATACACTGATCCAATACTGGTACTAAATATCAGCACTGATACTGACAAAATTGCTGGATCAGATATCTTTGTAATATTGGTTCAATCTATGTCCTGGTTGGACAGATACATTGATGTAATTAGTCAATTTACTGGTCATAGTCAGCCCAGAAAGACTCATAATGTTTGAAGTTTTATTTATACAAAGTTTATCTGTAATTACTTGAGTGATAGCATAATAAATAACAGATAAATAACACATTTGGATCACTTTTGTCTTATGTTAATTTTGTTTAAAGAAAATAAATACTGTTTTCAGTCATCAGTTGTCAGGTATCTTCATTTACTTAGAGTCAAAGTATCAGAATCAGTCTCAAAACTGACAAAGCCGGATCAGTGCATCCCTAGTTTTTGAAAACAAAGATTCATTTGTTTGTTTGCCTTCCACTAATTCCTTTAGGCGTCAATTTAGACACTGCTAACCAACCATTCCTTCTCACATTTATCCACTAGGGGGCAATACAGAATCATAAGTCCTCAGCACACGCCTGCAATTGTTTGGTGAAAGCAAAGAGAACACAATTTTGTACAATTTGAAACCTGAAAATAAGAAAAGTATGAATAATTTTGGGCTTAACTGTAAAGACAGAATGAGGATCCTGTGTGTTGTACATATAATCAAGTCTGCAAGCTTTAACATATCTATCTATATTTGTCTGTACAAGGACACAGCACATACAATCTAAAGTCCATGGGAGTATTATTATCATTTTCGATAGTGAGGCACTAAATTTCCAGCAGTCCAGTTTCTCCATTCTCTCTCTCTCTTTGTGAGGTCTTCCTGGTTCAGTCAATGTCCAGTTTGCATTGGATTTTAAGAGTAGTAAATGATTTCTGGGATCTGTCCGTCCTCCACTGAAGTGCCGTTGTTGTTGCCAGGGGAACTGAAGAAGAGGAACGTCGTCTTGGTCCCGTTCACCGACTCCTGAGTCACTTTTTTCAAACCTTTGGTGCCGTAATGAGAGTCTGGACCCTACAGAGAGTTATGGGAAAGATAAGAGTGGAATAAATCAGTGGTGTATTAGGAGTAGGGTTACCAAAAATATCAATATCCAAATACAAATTTATAGGGATGTAACGGTATCCTAATCTCACGGTACAATATTATCACAATATGGATCTCATGGTACGATATTTATTGTGATATTTTGGAGAGGCTGATATAATTGTAGATGGGACACTTTTTTGCTTTTAAAATACCCTCACAAGATTTTGGTGTGAACTATTTCCATCATAGTAGAATTCAAGTAAAAACATATTTCTGCGAGTTGTTTGCACTGAAATGAATCATGGGATATGCAGTTCCCTATATTTATAAACTGTTGCTACTATAAAACCATGTATTTAAGCAAAGGAACTTGTAATTCGATATATTGTGACAGCCCATGATATTATTGTGAGACTTTTGGCGATATGATATCACAATATTTCGGTTATTGTTACATTCTTACAAATTTATACTAAAACTAGTACTGAAAAAATATACTAATTTTCAATACTAAAACAATGACACTAAAGAACTAAATTTAACTTTCCTGAATACTTTTGGAATGTTGTTTTTTGCTTAATCTAAGATTATGTTAATCAAAATAAAATACAATTATGTTGTGTAATGAATTACTTTATTGTCTAAAATGTTTGCTACACTAAATAGGAGTGTGCAATAGTAACATAATTTTAAAAGTTATTTTCTACACAAGGTTTGGAGTTGGAAGATATTTAAAAAAAAAAATAAAAAATGAAGAGGTAACACTGGAAAAGAAATCAAATAAAAATACTGCCCTTAAGGGAGGAGGTGATAACTTTTACTTTTGTTATTATATTATCTTATTCTGATATCACATTTAAAATTAGGAACTGTGCAAAAATCCATCATAGTATAATGGTGCCCTAAAGATTATCCTGCATCCGACAACAAATGTATGTATAATAGTTTAATGAACTAGTTTAAATAGATCCAGTATTATATATATATATGTATTGTAGACTGCTTAATTGTGTGGCATAATTAACTATATAAACTGACCTTGAGAGTGGCACATGCCGTGTAGCTGATGTTGGGCAGGATCTCCACAGGCTCTTTAAACATGACCCTGAAGGTGGTAGCCGTTCCGTCACAGCTGAACCCAGTGTCGTTCTGACCCAGAGTCACACGTTTATCGCTCTCCATGATCTGAGGGACATCAATAAGAAACAAACAGTAAAACAATATGTATTTTACAAATCTTCTAAGATTTTTGTGCCTTTTTGGTGACAGCACGTTCCCCTTTGCCAATGAAACACAGTTAATTAGTCATTTTATTATCTTAAAAGTGCACTATGTAACTTTTCTGGTAGAGAGTCTGCCACCTGCTTGACTCCATGTAGAAGTTATTGTTTTTTCCTGGAATGTTCACCAGTATAGCATTTAATTGAACTATCTCCATGGAGACGAGCAGGCCACATCACAAGGCCAAGTTACTGGTCAGATTTGTGGAGAAGCGGGCCCACTCACAGTAAGAATGCATGTCTTTGCTGTAGTTTTGATAAATAAAAACACCTGTAACTGAATAAATACAAGATATATTTGTTTAATGCCATACTGCGGAACATCCCAGGCAAAGCTATGACATCACCAAGAGACAAGCAGATGGCAGGCCCTACACCAGAAAAGTTACACAGCGCACTTTTAATTCATGTTATGGGTTACTACAGTACTCCCCATTTGAAAAGTAACATTTTATACAATATGTCAATGAACACAAAAACTATTCACAAAATGTGCACAGACTCAGTTTAATACTGACTCTGATACTGACTCTGTTGAACGTAGGACAAAAAAACTAAGGTTAATAATATAACTTAGATTACATAATTTTCAGTTTTAGTCAAATAAGGGTGGTGCAAAAATGACAAAAGTTGACTCATTATGCTAAGCACTGTATGTGGGCAAGAGAAACTGAATTATGATTAAAAGAATAACATAAACAGCTTGCTCAGTGTTTCAATTACCTTGCTGTAGGGACTTCAGTTTAGAAATGTGCCCTCTCAGTCGAGTGTGTAGTAAAAACAAGATGTGACTAGAACCGTACCTGTATGTTGACCTGGTAATCCGTTGGCCCGTGTATTGAACCATATAAGCCGAAACCAACTATGGATATTCTTCTATTCACATTAAACCTAGAGACAAAAAAACAAACAAATCATGATTATTATAATTATTAGAATATCCTAAAGGCATGCATTTGGAACTTTTCTTACTGTGTGTATGCCAAGATAATCACAATACCCTTTACAAATATTTATACTGTTTTGTTTCTTGAATTTCCCTTGGGATCAATAAAATATCTCTCTCTTGAGACAAGCACCAATTTATATACATAGGTTATTCAAATTGATCCATTCAAAAGGCCTAAGAATCGATTGGAAAAATATGTAATGTATTGCGAGATTTGCAGCGTTTAAAATATAGGACTTCAATCAAGAGAATTTACAGTCTGAGAGAAGACTAATATAAACTGATTCCACTGATAAAGGGCATGTTACATAAATAATTTAATACATTTCAAAGGGCCTATATTGCACGTGTTGTTTTCTCATCACACACATATCTGGAGTTGTGTTTGGTTTCATTCACACATGTTTAACACACAAATCCTGCATATATGTACTGAGTTCTTCTCTCAAACTGAATACACTTTGTTCTACCTTGTGATGCAGGAAATGCACCACTGGCTTTTTGAACTCCATACACCTTCACTAGAATAATTTGGATAATTTCCTCCCTAGACAGGTAGCCGTTAACATGAAAACTACCACTTCATAACATTACAAGGTGGAACAGAGCATTTTGAGCTTTGGAGATGTAGACAGATTTATAATAAAGGATTACTCAAATCTGTGTGAATGAACATGATTACTTAAACATGTGTGAATGAAACAAAACATAACTCTAGGTATTTTTATAATGATGTAACAGCATTATAACATGACTTAAAGCTCACAAGTTAGTCATTTTGCATAATATAGGATCTTTAACAATACCATCCAAACTGTATTTCTGATTCAATTGTGATTAAACCTGCACACACATACACTATAGTAACAATCTAATACTAGACACAATAGACCATCTAAGACTGACCTGATTCTGTCGCTGGTGCCGCTGTACCCCCATCGGCTCTCCACCTGCTGGAACCTGTTAATGCTACTCTCCTCTCCACGGAGGCAGCAGCGTGGCCGGTCTATGTACTCGACTCTCGGTTTGGGGTTTACTGTAAAGTGTAAAAACAGATTTACCACCTCCCGATCGAACAATATCCCAGACTGGGCAGGCCCTGTTGCACAAGAGAGAATATGTGTGTCTGTGGATATTGAGCTGCAGCACTTTGGTTATAACAGTGACTTTGAGGAGATGGGCCTCATTCACAAAACCTCAGACAACACCAAATCTAACTTCCAGGACTGTGTAACTTTTTGATTAGAGGTCTGTCGCCTGCTTGTTTCTATGGATATGTCATTCGTCTGCCTGGAATGTTCCACAGTGTGACATTAAACAGCTCTACCTTACGCTTACTCAATTACAAATGGTTTTATAGCTCAAAAGTACCTAAAAAAAAAACAGGAATTCTGACTATGAGTGGGGTTATCTCTCCACAGATCTGACCTATAACTTGGTCTAGTTTGATCTCCATGAAGATAGAAATGTTTAATGCCATACTGTGAAACATTCCAGACAAAGCAATAACATCTCCAACGAGAAAAGCATTTAACGGAGCTCCACCAGAAAAGTTACACAACACAACTTTAACTGACAAGGTATTGATAATAATTTAATTCATAGTTTATTATCAAACTCTTTTTATTGGTTTACATTGTTTAGAAAAGGGAGTAACGGAAAAAAAAATATGCTAATAATTCAAAATATCTGACCCCCGTGGAAGACAAATAAGCAACAATGTAAGGCAAAAATGTTAAATGTGCACTGTGTAACTTTTCTGGTGAGATGCCTGTCACCTGCTTGTTGCCATGGAGACAAACGAGTAACACAACAGCTGAACTGATGAACATGGGGCAAGACAGACAAGACTAAAGCCATACTGGGGAACATTCTAGGCATAGTAATATCGTCGTCATGGAGACAACATACAAGCAGGTGGCACACTCTCTCCGAGAAAAGTTACATAGTGTGATAATGATGGAATGGCAGAGCTAAAAAAAAATAAAAAGGTTTCTGATGATAAATTAAAAAAACAAGAGAGCTTTAAATGGTGATGATGAAACTGGGCTTTGAAATGGATGGAGAATGAGTCGTGAATGAGGCCCATTACCTGAAATTAAACATGAAATGATTGTTAAACTTACCTGCAGCGAACTCCTCCACGGTCATGAGCGGGAAGCGAATGAGCGGCAGAGCTTTTCCTAAAACCTTCTGTTTGTTTTCGGAGGTGAGGGGAAGCTGTTGTCTGTAGCACTCGGCCTCAGCCCAGCGCACCACTGCCCCAAAGAGACGGTTCTCCCTGATGCTCAGAGTGTCCCTCTCCAACACAGCACATAAAGTGTCTGTACAAAGAAAAAACAAGAAGAAGAGAAGATATAAGCCTTAACCAATTAACAAAGACAACACATACTGATACACATGTCCAAGTAGAGGAGGCCAATATTGTTTATAAAAATAGTAGTTAAAGGAAGGCATTTCAAGTATATTGTCAAATTAAGCTACAAGTGATATTTTAGCGCTTTTGAGGTCATTTTAACAGTAACATTTACGTGATAATAGAACCTTCACCAAAGCATTTACTACCACATTTAAGCAACTCTCTTGTAGATAACCAAAATATGATGACGATTTGAAATAACATTTTACCAAAAAAACAAGGACAAACCAACACATTTAAAACATGTGCCAAGACTATATCAACAAAGTTATAAACAGTTTAAAAATAATATAATGTAAACATCTTAAGAGAAAAAACAAACAAACAGAAACTTGCAGAGTAACCTTCCAAAACACAGACATACTTCCATACCGACTATGAGTCAGTCAGTACATGTTCACATGATGTTGACACTAATTATAGTAACGCTCTGATGGATTGCTAATATGATAAAATTATAATCTGTACAGTAAAAGAAACAATTTAAACTGTACCCCTACCTCAACCCAAAACAGATGCTCAAAGAATAAAACTCTTACCTAGGTCAATATCTGTGAAGCCTTCTGCGTTTATTGCATCTCCAGTGCTTTTGTCTATAGTGTCCAAGCAGAGGCTCGCCAACTGAGGCTCATCAAATAATCTGGCCTATAGAAAATCACAAAAAACAGGAAAGAAATACACAGTTAAATACACGTAACTGTACAGTTTTTTATGCTGAATTCACAAAGCATTCACTGGAAACATATGAAAATATTTTACATAGTTGGGGTAAGCACAAAACCGGCTCAAGGCAGAACAATAGTTCAAGCATTTGAGATTCAAAACAGGTACTTACTACAAATATTCAAGACAGACATTGATACTTTAAAAAAACTGCATAGGACATGATATAAAAATGTAAAGCTAAATTTCTATCATGCTTTAATTAATTAATCGTTGCATTTATATGGCGGCTTTCAAAGCACCCAAAGTGCTTTACAGAGCATTATTCATTCACTCCAAACTCAGTGATGGTAATATACTATTGTAGTCACAGGTGCCCTGGGGCAGATTGACAGGCCATTGGCCCCTCCGACCACCACCGTAACTCACACACACACATTACTTTCATACTAGGCAACATGGGTGAAGTGTCTTGCCTAAGGACACACCAACAGTTTTGCCACTGGCGCCTCACTGTGGCACCTGGAATTCTGAGGCTCGGCCCTGCTTAGCTTCTGATGTCTTTGTAGTATATTTTTGCCTCCAGTTTTAATAAAACACTATGCAATAAACAATACACAGGATTATTATTGTTATATTTTAATAAAGTCTAAGCTGTGAATTACCTGAGTAAGAAGCATGAAAGCATTATCGGCTCTGAGATGTTTGGTGAGAAACTCCACACAGTGACTTTCCAGTGCAGGGACGGCGTACTTCTTTGCCGTGTACAGCGTTGTCATAACAGTCTCCGGACCAATATGGACCTCGTCAGAATACAGAAACCTAAAAGACAATTTATTATGTCATTATCATTTCCAATAATAGGTCTATGCATGAAATGGGAGTTGAGCAGAGGGAGAGACATACAGCAAAACTGACATAACTGGAAATTAATTGTCACAGCACTTTTCAACCTTCAAAAACTCAAAAGGCTTTACATCAAGGAACCACTCACCCATTCACACACACATTTACACACCAGTGTACAGAGACTCTGGGGGTCAGGTGGGTTAAGGATCTAGTCCAAGGACACAAGGACAGCATTCATCTGTGTCAGCTCCAACATGTTTATGTTGGGAACCAGATTCAAACAGCCATCCTTTGGGTAAGAGGACAAATATTCTACCAACTAAACTACTAAGACCTGTTATAATCTTGGTTTAGTCCCAGTTTTTATATGGTGTGTGGGTATTACATATTTGAAACCACTCCTTTAGGACTCCCGGGCTGAACTAGACAGAAATTATATTTTTTTCCTTTTTCAGGGTCATGAAAATCATATCAGTCTACCTGGGATCCTCTGCATCCCCCTGTCCTCTCTGTAAAGAACCTCTTCAGTATTTCTTTAGGTCCATAGTACAGTTTATAATCTCTAATCATTCTTCTACTCATGCTTTCACAGTCAGTTTGTCCACTCCGATTTTGTCACTCTGGTAAAGGTTCTCTTCTGTTATCTGATTTGTCAAAACATCTAAGACATTGAACTGCCTGTTTTGTTGCCATCCTCACCAGATAATCAACATCTCAAGCTATGCCTCCTGTACCATACATACACAGTCTTATTTACTTACTTTTTGTTTTTTTAATGCATTTTCAATTTTTGCTATAACTTTGACACACCCATCCCTAATGAACTTGACAAATATTTTAACAGCAGCTGTAAAATATGAGTTGTACAGGCGGTTCATAAGTTATTCATAAGAAATGATTTATGAGGGTAATTTCTTGGCTGACATAAAAAAATGTGACAGCTGCAGTCTGTAATTCATATAATACTGGTGAGATTTTCATCACTGGGTGGAGAATTACTGTCTAAGAAAACTTATGGAGCCAATAAAAAACACATCTGCGTGGAGAAGGAGGAAAACAGTGCCAGTACCATCTTGAGTTTGACTTTTCTCATTTACACAGTCATTGTAATTTCAAGTTTATCCGGCCTCTCAGTTGAGAAATTGTGCATTTATTGAAGCTCACTATAACTAGCTGTGGTTATGCACACTCTAAATCTGATTAAAATGACATGTTGCAAAACCATCGCACTCTTTCTGAGCATGTTTACTTGCAGATTTTGTAGTTCAGTTTGTTGTCATTGAAATAATCTTAAAAGGTAAATATTACACAAAATTTACTCATGTGAGCTTTTAGCCATGTTATAATGCTCTTACCTCCTCAAAAACAAATGTTTGAGTTAACCATGTTTGTCTAAAATCTCCAAAGCTCAAAATGCTCTGTTCCACTTTGTGATGCCATAAAGCGGTACTTTTCAAGTTATCAGATACCGTTCACCTTTAGTCCAGTAGAGATGAGCAATTCCAGTGCTGAAGTCATCCAAATTATTCAAATGAAAGTGTACGGCGCTTAATAACACAGTGGAGGACTTCCTGTATAACCACATGACATCACAAGGTCGTCAGAAATCTTGTGGTTTTTATATATTTAATATTTATTGTGATCTTAGCCAAGTGCGATGAATGAATTTTATTAATTGTAATGTTTATGGAACAAAGCCATTCTGCACTGGAACACTGTAACACTTTATTCTGTAATTGTGTTTTTATACATGTCTATTGTACATAATGTGGATGAATGAAATGCGGGACCTGCATCTCAAAACTGCAAAACAAATTTACCTACGGGTACGAATAAAGCAACCTAACCTAACCTAACTTAAGGTGGAACATTGTTTTCCGTTTGAGAGAAAAAGTTTGCGTGTTAAACATGTGTGAATGAAACAAAACACAACTTCAGGTATGTCTGTAATGAGGAAACATCATTATAACTTACATCAGAAAGTTGACCTCCTATATAAAGATGAAAGCTGAAATTTTCTATTTTATTACTTACTTTTCAATTTTATTTTTACTTGTACATATGCAGTACATTTATATAATTATGTCTTATTTTATACCTGTCTCTTGCTACCTTTTTTGCAACTTATTTAGAATGTATTACTACTAGGGATGTAACAATAATTGAAATATTGTGATAATGTATCGTCAAAAGTTTTACAGCAATACCGTGGGCTGTCACAATATATTGAATTACAAAATCTTTTGCTTAAATGCATTGTTTTATAGTAGCTTATAACAGCTTATAAACATTGGGAACTACATATTCCATGATTAATTTCAGCGCAGACAACATGAAGAGATATGTTTTTACTTTCATTCTTGGGATTATGACAGAAATAATTCACACCATCTTGTCAGGGTGTTTTAAAAGCAAAAAAAGTGTCTTGTCTACAATTATATTAGCCTCTCCAAATATCGCAATAAATATCGTACCATGAGATGAATAATCATATCGTGATAATATTGTACTGAGAGATTTGGATATTGTTACATCCCTAATTATTACCATTGACACTTTTTACTCTTTGTTATTATATTATATTGTGATGAGTAAGCTACCGTGTCCAAATATGTGGATCAATAAAGTTTGCATAAGTCTAAGAAAATAGCGTAATATGGGTCCTTTAAATGTGAATAAATCAGATAATAATAGATTTTGATGTGCATGCAAACATACCCAGTGTTGTTACAGTGTCGTACCTGAGCAGGGCTAAGAAGGCGGCGGGCTCCACATCGGGCAGCTCTATCTCGGCTGAAGTTGTGGCCATGCCTCCGTTGAACATGGCATCAAACACGGCACTGCCCGCGGCCAGCACGAACTTATGCGCGGGTATCCTCTGGGCCTGCCTGCCTTTGCCCACTATGAAGCGCACATCACTGAGCAGCTCGTTGTTGAAGAGGAAAGCAAAGCGCTCCTTCAGAGAGCTCTTCGTGGCCTGCCAGTTGTACATGGGCTCCCGGTGAAGGCCGTGAGCCGGGGGAGAGGCGGGCGGCCCGGGAGCAGCAGCAGGAGCCTGAGCCGCGCTGGAGCCGCAGGAGCCTGGGTCACTGTGGTTGGAAGCTAAACCGCTAGCTCCATTGCCAACGCCCCCGGCTGTCGCCATTATTATATTCTGTCTTTATCCAGAAAGTGGCGGAGACACGAGTCGAGCAGTGTCCTTAAATCTGATCTTTATTTACGTCGCGTCCATCGCAGCAGACGCCATCACTCCTCGATGTTTTGTTAACGCACCCGGAAGAGCGCATGCGCACAGGTCTTTAGGCAGTTTTGAATCAATCTTTATTTGTACCAAGAACAAAAACAACAACAACAAGGTGACAGAACATAGATGGTCTATGTGACAGACAGAAAATAAATATTAAAATAAATCCAACTGTTAAAAATAATAAGAGCAGTAATATCCCTAAGAATTGTGTGCATTTATTTATACATAATTCTAAATTACAGTACATAAAAAACAACATTAATTTACTATTAGTCTATATGCTTACCAGTTCCAATCCATAATAATTAGCCTAATTAAAATGGAAGCAGCGACGCCTCTGGCCAAAAGTATATCACATCCGTAGTGGTTTAACACTATAGCACCATATAGAGCAGATCTGGCCCTTTAAGGACTTTGTGGCCACAGAGTTCTTCCAGACGGAGACACAAGAGTCACGCTGTACAATATATTATTCAAGTAAGAGTACTGTCTGTCTGTCTATAAAAGCATTGTCTAAAAACTCTAACTACAGTTCTTCATTACAATTACGCATTACATTAATAATAATAATAATAATAATAATAATAATAATATCACTATCACTATAATATTACTATATGCAACTGACACCTGGTGCAAAGTTTAATGTAAATACTTGTAATTACATACACTGTGAGGGTGACATCACTGATTTGTTTTATATTTATCCTGTAAATTGTATATCTGATTGTCTATGTAAATATGAGTATATCTTATAAATAAATAAACTGTGTCTGAACTGCATATATATTTTGTTTTTCATTTTTAACTGTAATTAAATATTGTTTAAATTATTTGTGTATTTTCTTTCCTGCATTAATATTTTATAAAACTTTGTTAAAAAGTGATAAAAGAGATACATGAGCACTGATTACAATAAAGTATAAAACATAGTGAATAAAGTGATCAAATGGACAGAGAGGCAGATGGGGGTGTGGTGAACAATTTTGTTCTCCAAAGCGTAGTAATGCGATAATGGAAGTGAGGCTATTACATTGTTGCTGACCCTCTGAAAAACCTCTTGTTGACCCTCCAGGTTTATTTGGCTGTGTTGGTGCAAAGGTCCCTATCTGTGACCTGAACTGTACAGTATGAGCCTTTTTAGATCACAAACAAGGCATCACCTGTCGCAAAATGTAATAAACACAATGCAGTCTGTCACAGCATCAATTGTAAACTGTTTTATGATATAATGATCAGCTTAGGGTGACAAGATGTCCCTGTTTACCTGGAACAGTCACAGTTTTGAGCCCCGCGTCTCCTGTCCCAAGAGATTTATCGGAAACCAGTGATTTGTCCAAGAAATGTCCCAGGTGTCCCTATTTTTGACCAATCTGATCCCTGCCAACAGTAAAGACAGGCATAAGTTGTAACTTGTTTCAGTAAAATACAGAAAAGCTGCTTAAAAATGACCAAAACACAAAGAAAATGTGATTATACTAACTCATATGTTAGTCATGAATGGTCTATGCATAACAGTTTTCCTTAATTACACACTTGTTTCACAGTTTTATTATTACCAACCACCAAAAACAGGGCATGTCCCAATTTTTTATTCACCCTAGATCAGCTGTATGTGATTGTCTAAATAATTAATGCTCTAATACTTAATTTGGCCTTTTTAAATGCACAAACAATGATAACTAACTTAAACTTTTGATATCATCTTAGTTTTTGTTCATGACTGCAATTTTGCGTCTTCTGATCCAGGCAGGGTTTGAACCAGATCCATGGTTTGAACCCGGGTCTGGAGCAATTATTTCATGAACGAACACTAACCTCTGCATTCTGATTGGCTGTGCTTTTTCCCAGCAGTGCATGGCTCACAGGCTCATTTTCATTGGCTGACTCTCTGTGCTCACTTTACGCGACTGGAGGGGGGAAAAGTCACTGTAAAGTCAGTCCAGACCGACGCGCTCATCAAGACCGAGCATGTCTCCCGCTGGCACAATTTCCTCTTTCTCCTGTTTTTCACTGCGACTATGACTTCTGCCACAAATCCGAAAATGTCATCGATATTCTTAATTACAGGCTATTAGCTATTATACTTTTTATTATCAAAGCGGAGACGAATCGGCTCCGACATGAGTGCGTCTGCGGGGACCGGAGTTTTTGTATTGTCTCTTACGTCAATCCCAATTTGTTATTTATCTAATGCACTCATTTGCAACGACAGGTGAGTTTGACATCTATAAAAAAGCTTAGTGTTGCGTATGCTTTGGTATTCACTTGTATTATTTTAGTGCCGAGGCCCAGTTCTACGCTGGATGTGCCACTTTTGTAACTTTGTGCATCTCAGGACAGTTTATCCTCAACAAGAAGGCTCCATCAGATCCTCTGTTTTATGGTATGATACAAACTTTACTACTTGTATTCAGTTTAACAGCATGCACCTTTCAGAAAAGCAGAAGGTATTCTCTCAGTCAAGTCCCATTCACAAAATCATGAGCAATGGATGTATTTACTTATGACACAACCGCAGAACTGTCTGTGTTCATTCCTGGATTTAGTCCAATATTTACTTTAAGGCTTTATCTGTGTCTAAGAATGGTTTAAAAAGCTCATCATTTAATCCATTTTAAATACAAAGTTTGCTTTTGTTTTTCTTTGGTGAAATCCTTATTTACTTTTTAAAGGAGGTAAAGAGTTTGAGATTAGACTTGTTCTAGTTTTGCAAAGTTTTCACATTTGAAACGCTCCTTTTACATTGAACAGGTTCATAAGAAATTCTAAGCTTAGATGTTTACATTTTATATATTTGATAATAGTATTTTGTATTCATTGGATGTTGTTTTGTAGTGTATGCTGTCTTTGCTTTTCTGAGTGTCGTCAATCTTATAATTGGCCTGGAGCAAGACAACATCATTGATGGATTTGTGACATTTTATCTCAAAGAGGCAAGTATCAGATTTGCAGGTTCATAAATTGCGTGCATGTTTTATTTCAGCTAACTGACCAAAACATGTTTAAATATTTATATTTTGCATTCTAGGCAGATCCACACATTAACACAGCCCATGGTCACATGATTTCCTACTGGGATGGTTGTGTGCACTATCTCATGTATCTACTAGTGATCGCTGCTATAACATGGGGGTGAGTCAGCATCTAAAATAATCTCTCTCTTTCTCTCCCTCTCTCTTTGTTTATCTCTTCCTCCTCTTCTCCTGCCATCTTCTCTCTCTCTTTCTCTCTCTCTCTGTCTGTCACCATGTGTCTCTTTCTCTCTCTCTCTGTCTGTCACCCTGTGTCTCTTCTCTCTCTCTCTCTGTCTGTCAAGCTGCTTCTCACCTTTCTCTCTTCTCCCTTCATCTTCCCTCTCTCCCTCTGTCAGTCTCTCTTTCTTTCTCTCTCTCTCTGTCTTTCACTCTCTCTGTCAGTTTCACCTCTCTCTATTTGGTTGGCATGGGTTTTTGTTAATCCCTTTTGTCAACATATTGTCCGTGTGCCTTTGACAATGGCAGGGACAGTTACCGAGCCATTGGCCTGTACTGGGTGGGATCTTTTCTCATGCGTGCCATAGTCTACATTCTTGGGAACGCTGTCGGTAAGAACACTAAAAATAATGAGATGTATTTAGATGGAGAGCCCGTAGAGACCCTTCCCAAACCAATCAGGCCATTCTCACAAACATATTACAATAGACTCAGCTAGTATTTTATTTTTAGAACTCTGAGAAAGTGGTTTATCTGTTACATTAAACATGCACTATATAGGCTGCAATATTACTTACATAATGTATTTCATCACACATTATTGTACACATCCCTACATACATACTAAACTTTCAAACTCGAGTTCAATACTAAGTAAAAGATTTGATACTCAATACTGATTCCAATACCACAATAATAAAACAAACACTTTTTCTTTATACAGTAGAATATCATTTTCAACATTAAATCATACTTTCTTTTATATTACCATGTTGTCTTACATCTGTGTAATCCCTCAGTCGTCCGTGGACATATATACAGTACTACTATGTGGTTTTACACAACTCAAGATCATTTTACAAGGTTCCCACGGTCATGGAAATCCTGGAAATGTCATGGAAATTAAAAATTCAATTAAAGTTCTGGAAAAGTTTTAGTATCTCTTTCACACACATCTACAGTGTTCTGTTAAGTTATCATTAGGCTATTAAGATTATTTCCAAACATATGCGCCTTTTTGTTTAAAAGAGATGACAATAAATGCACTGACAGCATTTTGAATGTTAAAGTATAGTAACAAACCATAAGGTGAGTGGAAAGGGTTAACATTTCATATTTAGTCCTAAAATTATGCTCAATTCTACACATGTAGGGTGCTATAAAGTCATGGAAAATTGACTTTAGGTGATGAAAAATCATGGAAAAGTTTTGAAATTTTGTCAGTGAAAAAGAGTGGGAACCCTGATTTTAAACGTATTCAGGAAACGTTGATTTCTGTCCTGTGAATGTTTTTAGTACATCGATACCTGCTCAAGTACAAGCTTTAATATAGTTTAGTACTTGAATTTTGATACTTTTGACAACCCTACTAAGTATTAGACACAGCAATTTTTTATAAAACATTTTTTGTCATTGTTTTGTAATCTGGAATCTTTGGGAAATCCAGCTGTTCATTTAGCTCACCATAGCACAAGAGCAAAAAGACACATAAACATTGTGAGCTTATGATTTTTGCTGATGAGTATAAAACTATAACTGGGTTTTAGATTACATCAGCATTTCTCTACAGGCTTGAAAGATTTATGAGAAAAACACAACTTAAATGCCCATTGTTGATTTATTAATTTTGAGATGTTTATTTTTTCTTTTTAAAAATGCTGCAAGATAATTGTGTCACTATTATAGTAAATGAAGAATCAAATGTCAAAATGTGTGTGTTTTTATTTTGTATTTTTATGTAAATGCTATGCTAACTGTAGTCAATATTTGTGATCTTTTTTGTAGGTAAATATGGGTTTCGTGTGGGCCCTCTCTCTCTGCTCCACGGGCTGTACGTCTCTGTCGCAGTCTGGACTTGTTTCCGCATCTTCAGCCAGCCGTCCAGCCAAGAGCCTCTAAACTCTGTAAGAACCTTATACAAAAATGGGATCCTTACACTATTAAATACTAATATTACTCATGAAGATGTGCTTTTTTTTGTTTGTTTTTATTAATTAATGTATAATTTAAAGGTGCACTTCTGGAAAGGGTCCACAACCTGTTAATTGCCTTTGGATTAAATTATCCACAGTTTGGTGTTAAACTAATCTGTCTTGCATTTATTCAACTACAGGTGTCAATTGCTCAAAAATATCTTAAAAAAACAAAATTCTTATTGTGAGTGCGGACACCTCTCCACAAACCTTACCTGTAATTTGGCTTGCAAGTCTCAATGGAGATGCTTAAGTATATGGCCATACTGTGAAACATTCTAGGCACATCTCCATGGAGACAAGCAGGTGACAGACCCTCTACCAGAAAAGTTGTGCAATACGTCTTTAAAAAACATCTATACATAAAATATTTAGCAGCTCATTAGTTTTAGAGTTCAAGCGTTCAACTAAGACAAGTCTTAAACTAAAATATGAAAAATATAATGAAAAAAACATGCCATTACATCTGAATATAGACTACTCAACCAAAAAAATAAATAATTATAAAATAAATAAACTAACATTGATCCCAGTTGAAATGACTTCTTATTGCTGTGGCCCTGATGGATAATGATAATAAAGAATCCTGTTTATTTTATTTTGCAGGAGACTCAAAGAAAAAGTTTGTCCCAGAGACCAATGGACCTGTTATTTGTGATCTACCTCATTCTTGCCTTTGCTTTCTGTGTTTTTAGAGGCCTGGTAAGAAACCTTAATTTAATTTAATTTTAATGTAGCTTTTCTAGTGGGGCTTGTCTCCATGGAGATGTCATTGTGTTGCCTTAAATGTTCCACGGTATAACAGTGCAGCTTATAAACGTACCTATCTTGAATTTATAGTTATCAATAGGCTCACCTCTCCACAGATCTGTAATATTTCCTGATGGCAATGTACATACTGTGGAATATTCCAGCCAAAGCAAACACATCTCCATGGAGACGAGAAGGTCCCTCCATCAGGAAAAAAGTTACTTATTGCTACTTTAACCTGATAAGTACCTTTTTAATGTTGATAATGCTTAAGGTCTGTGTATTTTTAGATCGTCTTGGACTGCTCTGGTCAGTGGTGCCAGGACTACGCACTCCAGTTTGAACCGTACCTCAAAGACCCCACGGCGTATCCAAAAGTGCAGGTACAGTAAAACATTAACCAGCTGTGATTTGCTTTGCTTTGTCTAAAATGGTCCTTTATTTATAATATTGCATCATATCACTATTGTAGTAACACACTTTTGTTTTTATTTGGTCACATGTGCTCTATTGTTCAGCAGAGCATTTTCAAATATTTGTACATTTCTGTTGAATTTTTCTGCCAAGGGTTCACACATTCACGTTTAGGGTATTTTCAGGTTTCTTTATTGCAATTTCTGTGCAAACTAAACATTCATAAACTTGAAGTGAAACAAGATAGGAAACAAATTAAAATATAAACTAGATTAATGAGTGCAAGCTCTAGCAAATACGATATAGATTTTAATAAATGTACAGTGTATGTTCTGTATCTTTGGTGACTTTTTAGTGCATGTAGTTGATATAGTTTTAAGATTTCTGTGTATATTTTGTGCATGTACTTAAAATTTTCTGTTAATGGGCACCATTTTGAGTACATTAAACCTTTCAAAAGAGATATATTATGACAACACTCTCTCGCATCAACCCATGAATATTGTCTTTAAAAGTGCATTCTGTGTCTGTCAGATGCTGGTGAGCATGTTGTACTCTGGTCCGTACTATGTTCTGGCTATTTATGCCCTGGTCGTCCCTGGCTGTGGGTGGATGCCTGATCTGACTCTGGTTCATTCTGGAGCATTGGCACAGGTCAGTGACTGCGCTACATTTTTATACAGGTGGCAAAGACATTCTGAGTTTTGTTTATGCCATAGAGCTCAGGATTGTAACTCATCTAATGTTAAATTAATGGAGATTTGATGATGCGAACTATTATCCGTAATGTCCATTCAAATGTATTCGGACACTAGATAAACGTACTTACTAGTAGTGACCCAGCAGTTTATCAGGCTATCATTAAGTAAGGCTAATATATCTCGATAACACTATCATTAAATGTGATGATACACTATCAATATTGTGGGCTCCTGTATCGATATTTCGCCAAGAGTATTTTTTTGTATATTTTACTAAATTATTTTGTTACAGTGCTACAGTTTTGTTGCTTGTTTAGTGGAAGGAAACTTGTTTATGCAACACAATTGACATATTCATAGTTTTTGATTATTAAAATGGGTGTGTTTCATATTAACTTTGCACAAGAAGTGGTTTAATAAAGACTTTTAGAATCACATCCATGATTTAGCCTTTATTTTTTAGCTTTTGTATCGATTTGAAATATATCATATTGAATCCAAAGCTCACTTTATTACAGTATGTATTGTAGCCTATGTATTGAGATATGTATTGTATCGGCAACTTCTCAGTGATACCCATCCCCAGCTGCCATAATCACAGCTGATTTCCATGGTAATGACCATTATGTCACTTTCTATCCTGAGCTCTGTTGGGGATCTGACTGATAACGTTTGAATCGGACAACTGGCGCTACAGCAACCTCATGTAGACGGAGAAGTTGTGAGAAGCTGTGAAATACTGAAATAAATGATAGGGTAATCTTTGGATATAATGTTACAATATCAAACATCACTAGTCATAAAAAAGATAAATAAAGACATGACAAAGCAGAATGTTTAAATACCTTCATTAATTAGGAAATTAAATCACAAGAACAACATCCCTCCCTCTCTGTCTCACGCTCTCTCTCTGCCCCCCCTCTCTCTACCTCTCTTGCTCTCTCTCTCTCCCTTCCTCACCTCCTCTCCCTCTCGCTCTCCCTTGCTCGTTCTCTCCCTCTCCCTCTTTTTCTTCTCTGTCTCTCTCCCTCTCTCTTTTCCTCACTCCCTCTCCCTCTCTCTCTCCCTCCCTCACGCTCTCTCTCTCAGACCCCCAAATTACACAGATACAGATATACCATGTATTGATTGAATATTAAAATGAAGCGTTGCTGTGACTTTACCAAATGCTTCACAGTCATGAGTAGGACCTCGTGTTGTGGTTAAGGTGCTGAAGAGGGCCACCTGCCTCCTCTTGCCCCCTGCCCTTTTAGAGAGGGGTGACCTGGTGTTTACTGCCCCCCTGCAGACCCCTCTCTGTCTGGAGCAGGGCTGTGAAGGCCACTGACACAGGTGGTGGTCTACAGGCGTAAACTGTTAACATTAGAAACACACGACCAAACATTCCTCTGCCCGTTTTACGTGATACAATATTCACTGAGAGAGTAAATATAGTGGCTACACTTGAGTACAGTACAATATATTTAAAGGTGCACTGTGTACGTTTTCTGATGGAGGGTCTGCTATCAACTTATCTTCATTGAGATCTACAGTATGGAATTAAATTTATCCATCTGCATAAAGACAAGTATGTGACACCACCATGCCAATATTACAAGTCAGATCTGTGGAAAGTCAAGCCTGCTCTCAAAGTTCAAATTCATGCTTTTCAAGGTATTTCTGAGCAACAAAACGGTGATAATTAAATCAATGCAAGATAGATGATTTTAATGCCATACAGTGGAACATTCTGAGCAAAGCAAAAACATCTCTGTAGCTGTTTTCAGGCCGGTCAGAATTGTGCCATGCCGGTTCCCACACCAATTACACTGGGAGCCAAAATGCTTACCAGTGAACAACCCGTGTTCAAACCATTTAAGTAAACCCATGATGTGTCATCGACAGACGAAAGCGGATGTCACAGCAAGGAAAATATCAATCATAAACTGCATCATCGACACCAGCAAGCATTTGTACGCATACAAATCATTTTTTATCTGTGCCAAGCTCTGCTACAACATCTGCTGTGAAGAAGGCGGGAGCGACGCTGAATCCAAAGATATAACCTTACCGGGTGAACACAGATATAGTAAATATTTGGTCTCCTCCACTGACCACTGCACAATCTTCTCATCACTTGATGTCTCCACCATATTCCACACACACTTTTTTCTTACACATTGCACCTTTAAAAAAAAAAACATGGACTATTGTCTGTAATCTATAGTCATTTTATACTATTGATTATATTACATTGTATTATTTTTGATGCTCTGGGTTATTGGGAGTGTTTAGTTTAGCTTATAATTGTATACTGGTTTGCTATATTTTATACTCCATACAAATTATCATCATGAAAAATCTTTGGATTAGTCTTTCCACAATATATCTTATATTATACCTCAGTAGAGCAGGTACAGTATTGCTGGGTTTCAGATGACAACACAACATTTTATAGGTCCTTATTATTTAATACAGATGAGGAACAGCTAAAATTAATATTGCTATAATGCAAATTTTTTTTTATTGTACTATAGAGAGTTTATGGCTCTATAGTCACGGTTAGAAATGATCAGGTTTAACATTATTGTATTTACCTTTTGGATATTTCATGGCAAAGTACATTGTAATCATTTGAGACATCTGTCTGTTGCCCAACATCTGTGAGAATGACATTATAACATTTGAAAACCATCAATACTGCTGATATCAAATAGTAAAACTTAAATAATTTGGGATCTACTGAATGGGTTAATTTTCTGTGTTTTCTTTATAGATAGCCTTTTCCTTAGTTGAAACAGTTACTCCTAAAAATACTGCCTTGTTATTGAGTACACCCTTGGACTCGGACTACAGTATAAACGCACAAAGGTGGTGTGTGGTGCAGACCTGTGTGTCACTCAGCAGTGGGATTGGGGATGACTTCAGAGCAGGAGGAATGGAGCTATTGGTGGTATTCACTTAAATGTCAGCTGTTCAGAAGAGATAAAAATAGAGACAGAGTGATGGCCTGACAACAGCGGCTGCTATGAGACATGTGGTGCGTTTTCAGGGACTTTGGATGAAAAGGTGGTGAGAGAGAATGTTCAGTATTTACAAAAATGAATATATATTTTTTTTCCTGGTGATGATAATAAGACAATGCTATTAAAAATCCACTCAGAACTGTTTGAGAACTAAAACAGTTTCTCAGACTGTTCTACGTGAACTTCTTCAGGTAGTACTTGGATAACTACAATGATGTAGTCCATGTTATTAGGTTCTTTTTTTCAAACCAAGAGTTCGATTTCATACCAGACAGTTTCGACTGCTCACTAGCACTCTTCCTCAGAGTGGTCATGTATAACCGGGACGAAGGGGCTTTTTTACTCTCACACACCTGGGATACTGTCGCTGGCGCTGTCATCCTGCCTCCATCAGTAGGAAGACAGCGCCAAAACCTGTTTAAATCAGCTGACCGGAAACATCACAGCAACACCACATGACCACAATAAGAAAGACCACAGTGAGCAGTCGAAACTGTCAGGTATGAAATCAAACTCTTGGTCTAAAAAAAGAACCTAATAATGTAAATTATCAGAAGACCAAATGAACCTCATTGGACTAATGATGTAGTCCACTTTTAGACCTGGTTTAGCCCTAGATTATACCTGGAATAGTCCTATTATAGATCTGGCTTGGATCTGGTGGTACTTGGAAAGCCAAATCTTTTCTTTGGTAGTACTTGTGAAACTAAAAACTCACCTGTTAATATCTTGGTTGAAGTTCAGATATCGCACAAAACATTACTTTGACTTAGACTTAGACTTAGACTTAGACAAACTTTATTGGTCCACAAGGGAAATTACTTGGACATGGTAGCTCACACATCACAATATAATATAATAACAAAGAGGATATAGCATAATATAATGGATATCTTCCATAACATTTTGAAGATAACATTGCAAGATTTTTTTATTGGCCTTTTTGCTGCTTTTTAAAATAGTTTATATTACGATTATGAAAAATAGTTGGGGCAAATAGTAAAACCTTTGTTGAATGCTTCATTATCCCACTGAAGTATCAATATAATTATAGTTCAGTATTATAGGGAGTACTTACAATGAACCAGCCCTCACTACGGGAAAGATACTGTGGTCAGATTCAAATGATCTTCTATTAAAATCCAAGTAAACTTCACACATTTGTTTTTCGTTGACTCTTTGTGTATTATAGAGTTAGTATTTTTCAGTATTTCATATTTTAGCACAATCCACTTAACCTAAAACCAGTGTCACTGAAATCTAAACCTATTGTCCAGACTCCAGACATCTTTCAGCAGAAGTCAGCAGCTGGACCATTACTCGACGAACAACCTGCGCACAGCAATCTTAAAAAAGAAACTAATGTATTACACTATGTCTAAAATGTGTTTTGGATTAACATTCACAATTATTGGCTGCATCATGAGACACACATTTAATGAATTAATTTGTTTTGAATTGTTTTAGTAATGAGAAAAAAGCTATCTCTTGAATGATGAAAACTAAAGTCCTCAAAATTGTGCCTATGAACAGGAAGTTGAAAGCCATTAATAAATAACAATAAGAAAATAACTTAAATGTGAGTCAGAATTAATTTGAGATCAAGACACTTCCAACAACATTTTAATTTTTTTATTTTCTATGACATGTTTATTCATCGCTTTTAACCTCCTGTTTACATTGGTGACATTTTGAGGACTTTCACCATTCAAAAGATGCAAACACTCTTACTAAGTGTTGTGATGGTAATGTTGCAATTTCCTCACTCTGAAATTCATGGATTTTCCTTCTTTAAAGGGCCAACATTATGCTCTTTTTTATGTATGTTAGGATGTTGTTTCCTCATCACAAACATACCTGGAGTTGTGCTTTGTTTCATTCACACATGTTCAACACATGTTTGAGTTTTTCTCTCACACTGAAAACACATTGTTCCATCTTGTAAAGTCATGTGGTAATACAGGAAGTTCAGTGTTGTGTTTTTAAATTCCATACACTGTCACTAGAATCATTTAGATAAAAAACTTGAGGGGGCAGGAGTGCTACTTGGATATACCGAAATTGTGTAGAAATGTCCTTTCAGTGCTCTTCAATGTAGGGACCAGTCTCAAATACAGAGTTGAAAAAACTGAGGCACTCAAAAAGTATAAAAGCCTTTAATAACACATGACAGATAAAGTTAAAATCACACCAACGCATTTCGGCCCTTCAGCCTTCATCAGGGTAAACTGATCTTCATCAGGACAAACTTTCAACTTGGTATAATTTAGATAATTTCAGCCCTGGAATCGCTACTGAACAAAAGGTAAAGCCTGTTAACTTGAAACCACTATATGACATCACAAGGTGGAACAGAGCATTTTGATCTTTGGAGATGTAGACAGACTAATAATAAAAGGGTTATTCAAACATCTGGTCTGTTTTTGACGAGATAACAAAATTATACCATGACTTATAGCTCACAAGAGTCAATTTTGTGTAATATATAAAAGCTAAATAAAAGCTACTATTTTATAATAATTCATACAGCACCATTATATTATTTGCTTGTGTGTTTTAGGCCCAGTTTTCGCACATTGGCGCATCTCTCCACACTCGTACCCCCTTCTCTTTTCGAGTTCCTGTGAGCAGCCAGCCTCTGTTCCTTCTGGTAAATGTGATCTACGCTCTGGTGCCTCAGCTCCTCTGCTACCGCTGCGCCACCAGGCCTGGGTTTTTCCTGTCAACAAGAACCACATCTGACAAAAAGACTGAGTAAGACTGTTTTAACAGTTATTTGACGGTTGGTCAGACTCAAGGCTTGACTGTAATCTGCCAACTGTAAAGTTATATGGTGTTTAGTCCTCTTTTAAAAGGTTGGTTCCATGTGAATCTGTAAAGCCACAATATCTTTAAGTTTAATTTTCTCTGACTATTATTTAATTTTGTTTGTGTTTGTGGATTACATTCTTGCTTTTTGTGGACTCATAAACATTCATAGTTTTGTATTGCTTCTATTCCTTTGAAAATAGTTTGTTTGTTCTAAAGGTATGTGAATACTATTTATAGCTAATTTGAACAATTAAACTTTTTTTTTCAGCACTGTTAAAATTGTACCATATCTAAAAACTGTGATGAGCCAAAGATAAGCTAAGCAACAAGCCCTGGATAAAGACTTATGCTATCAACATAAAAGGCTAAATAATAAAACATTGTACAAATGAGTGTCCTTAGCTACATCTTTTCTCAATCAAGCCATTGTTTGTAAACTAAAAGCTGATAAAAGTTTATGTTTGCACTTTTTTGGAAATAAATATGTTTTCCTTCCATTTGTCATTATTACTTCTATACAACATTATGGCATTATTATATAAAACTACTGAAGTTAAATGTTTGGAGGTCAGTTTTTGTTTTTTGTCAAGGTGTGGCGCTGTAACCCCTGTTTTCACATTAGTAGAAGAAAAAAAGAACCCAGAAGTGCTTATCACGTGACTGTTGTTTGTGTTTCCCCCCCACAAGATTCGATCTAACAAATTAACTAAATACTTAGAACTTGTCATTTAAAGTTGCCTGTAACATTGTCGGATATTCACGCGCTTAAAAATGTATATTAAATCACTGAAGATGTGTTAAAAGAGTTAGGAATTGATGAAATAAGCCGAGCTAAACCAGGTTAGCCACTGTTAGCATCGGTCCCCATGGCAGCTCCTACTGGACCCACTGCTCCGGTTCTCAGGTGCGTCCTATCTTCTGTATTCTTTCTGATATCTTTTTACTATTTTTGTATATTTAAGATCTTGAAGACGTTATAATAAAATACACTGTGCTTGTTCTGTCTAAATAAATGGCAAAAATGTATTATTCTCTGAAGCTAATCGTGTTAAAATGAATCATACATTATAACTAGCGAGCTGTATACATGTTATATTATGCCAAATAAACTTTATTTTTGCTACATTTTTTTTCAGCCAAAAACAACGTCGTTCTGCATTGAGAAAAGAAAGAAGAAAACGCAAACGTCAAGCTTTGGCACAGTCCAGAGAAAATGGTATGTAGTGAGTGATATTACTGGTTTTCAGTTAATTTCAGCAGCTCAAATACTCAATGTTTATGAATTATGTGATAACTTTTATAATGTATAGGCGTCACTGATGAAGCAAATGAAGAGCTCGAAGAAGATGGAGACGATAACGAAGAAGCTGAAATTGCAGAAGTGGAAAGGTATGATCATATTATGCTAAAATAATAAATAAACACATTACAGCTTTCTTATTGTTTTGATGCTTGTTTCAGGCAGCGACTTCATGAGGAGTGGTTGGAGAGGGAGCGTCTGGCTCAAGAGGAGTTCAGACTGAAGATGGAAAAAGAGGAGGCTGCACAGAGACGAAGAGAGGAGGAAGAGGTGACTGTTTTTAAATAAAAAATATATATATCTGTATTAGATTAGATAGACTGGGCTTAGAAGTTTGACACTTAATGGTATTGTCAACTATTTTACAAATTTTAAGGGTTTGAAATTATTTAGACATTCTCATAATAGTTGTTTTTCATTATTGTACATATCATTACATTATATTTGACTATACTTGTTACATTTATGTACACAGCATGCAACATTATAGATCCAGTTGCCATTGTTGATTTTTTTTTTTCACTATTGTTCATTTAAATTTTATAACTGACACTCCCTGGCATACGCTGACCTTTTCGACTGTTTTTGTTTTCTATTTGCAGCGACTGATCAAAGAAGAATGGGAGGCCCGTCAGAGGAAAGAGGCGGAGGATCAGGAGCAGAAGAGGCAGGAGAAGAGAGACAGAGAGGTGATACGTGCCCTGGGACGCTAGCACTGAGAAACATATCCTCCTTTGTACAATTTGGAGTATAAAATTAATTTTGTAAACATTCTAAATTAGGGTTTTTGATTGTTTTGCTTTCGATAATGTATTTTCAATGTGAACTGTTGTAAACTACTCCTTAACTGAGCAACACAAAGGTCAAAAACTTCTCCTTAACTAAGATGCGCACTAAAAGAAACATGAAATCGCCTCCTACAAGAGCGTATCTTTTACAGTGTTTAAGATGGATCTGAATGGTCAACAATGCTATTATAATAATATTTTTCACTTTTTTGTGTGGTCTTAACTTTTGGTGAGCAGATATTTCTTTGTACAGACCATTTTTACAAGCCCTGTCTTTGCACCATTTATAGGAGGCAGTTCAGAAAATGTTGGACGAAGCAGAAAGTCAGGTAAAAACACAATGCCTTAAATTATTTCTTCTCAAACTTTTGAAAGTGCTCTATGTAAACTTTCTGGTGGCTGCCATGTTCTTGTCTCCATAGAGATCAGATTATATGCCTAGAAAGTGCCAATGCATGGCATTGAAGTTAACCATCTTTGATTTATTGGTCGATTGCTCAAAATTATGGAGATACAGAACTTTAATGTTGTACTGTGGAACATTCCAGGCAAAGGATTAACATCTCTATAGAGACAAAGAGGTGGCAAATCCTTCACCAGAAAGATTACATATTACACCAGACCGTAAATGGGACTAAAATATACCTAAGTATGACACAGCTACTAAGAATTAACTGACAAGCCAAAACCTGGACGCAAAACTGAACTATAAAGCAAATTATATCTTGAATATTATAGTTAAATAATTCTAGTTTTCACATTAGTCAGTTATATCTAAAAATAATAATTATTTTCTCTCTCTTCTACACAGTTAGAAAATGGAGGTGCCTGGAAAAATCCTGAAGCTCCAGTGACTGAAAGCTCAAAGAACTACGGCACTGAGCGAGACGTGGCAAACTGCCCCTTCTTTCTTAAGACTGGAGCCTGTCGATTTGGAGACCGGTACTACACAAGTTATTTTTGTCCTATCTTTATATACCTTACTAAAATAAGTTTCCAACCTTTTTTATTTCACATACTCACATTCAATAGACCGTGTGACCTGGTGTCATTTTATATTACATCTGTTAAAAGTGTTAGGATACTCACATTTAAATCTTTTTAAAATAGATGTTCCACAGAAAGAGTTTTGTAGCTAAAAGAAATCCGCAATCTTACAGAGTGTCCAATGTGTTGATAATGGAACCAAAAACAACTGAATCCAATCTTTCATAGACTAGGGAATAGTACAAGAACCTCTAAATATGATGTGTCAGGTTCAGGTTTCCTTATTGTCTCCTCACTAACAAATTTCAACAGCATTAACATACAGACGTGACATAAGACATCAAAAGTCATTTTTTAAAAAGAACTGTACTACTTTATAGAATGTCAAAAGTATGAAATTATGCTGCCCATTTGACTAGTTTCCCCTCTCACTTACTGTAGATGTTCCCGTAAGCATGTCCATCCCAGCAGCAGCACGACACTCCTGATCCGTGCCATGTTCTTCACTTTTGGGATGGAGCAGGCGAAACGGGATGATTACGACATGGATTCATGCTTGGAGTACAGTGAAGAGGAGCTGCACGAGAGCTTCATCGACTTTTACCACGATGTCCTGCCTGAGTTCAGGAGTGTCGGGACAGTCGTGCAGTTCAAGGTTTGGCTTTAGGCTCATTTTAAATTTGTAAAATCGACATTAAAGGTGCATTGTGTAACTTTTCTTGTGGAGGATCTGTCAAATGCTTTTCTTCATGGACATGTTATTGCTTTGTCTGGAAGATTTCACAGTATGGTATTAAACTGTCAGAATGCCTGTTGTGTTTTGTTTTGTTTTTGTATTTTTGAGCTATAAAACCACGTGTAATTGAATAAATGTAATGTAGACCTGTTTAATGTTTAATACTGTGGAACGTTCAAGGCAGAGCAATGCCATATCGATAGATAAAAGCAGGTGATAGACCCCCAACCAAAAAGTTACATAACCTTTAAAGCGCTTTTCATCATGTCTGAGGAATACTCAGAAATAAATGCATGAATCACTTAAAATACAATTCCAGGTAAACTAACCCATTGACGCCTGATGCTGCGCAGCGCAGCACTGAGTCTCCTGCCGGTGAGCCGACACCGACAGGAGACTCAGTGCTGCGCTGCGCAGCATCAGGCGTCAATGGGCTAATGATAACAGAAAACTATTAAAACATGTTTGAGAAATCATAAAATAATTTAAATGTATTTGTGCATAAGTTTGTAAAGTAGAAGAGTGAATTTCCTTAATTTAAGAGTATATAAGAAAAATGCTAATAAATGTCTTTTTTTGGTTACAGGTTAGCTGTAATTATGAATCACATCTGAGGGGAAATGTGTATGTCCAATTTGAAACGTAAGCGTCTGCTTTTTTTTTTTTTTTTTTTTTAAACACATACCAACAATTGTATAGGCTCTATTCATGCTTACGTCACAAACCTAACCTAAATAATATTTTGTATTTTATTTTCTTATCTCTCCAGGGAGGAGCAGTGTCAGGAGGCCTTGATAAAGTTCAATGGGCGCTGGTATGCAGGACGGCAGCTTCACTGTGAGCTGTGTCCTGTAACTCGATGGAAGAATGCAATCTGTGGTAAGCGCTGTTATTGGAAATCACTCAGTCAATAGGTTTACTTAGATTTAATCATTTCTCCTTAAACTGAATCACCTTTGGTCTTTTTCTCATTAGTTTGGTTTGATGACTAAACAAATACAAGATTGTGTTGTTGTACACTTTTGAGTAACTCACATAAAAATTGACGATTCCCAATTTATTCCTGGGTTACATCTTTATGTTTGTAGGTGGACTTTTTACCGCGAAAAGTTTTTTAAACATTTTTTTAAACTACCGGTAATTGCTATGGCAAGAGTGCTACATGTTCAACACTTTGAAACCCATGGATTGTACTACTACCACTCTTTCAGCAGTACATTAAGCAATTGAAAATTACAAATAGCTTAAATTGAGAAAGAACTGTTTTTACAATTTTGATTCAACTTATTCTATTTAATCAACAATAAAGTTTAATTTAATATATCTATCTTTTATATCTTGTTTTCAGGTTTGTTCGACAGACAGAAATGCCCTAAGGGGAAGAACTGCAATTTTTTACACGTTTTCCGCAACCCAGGCAATGAGTTTTGGGAGGCGGACCGGGACATGTCACCCGAAAGGAGGAATCGCAGGGAGGGGTGGCATTCGGAAAGACGAGGCGACCGATCATGGAGGCAAAGAAGCCCACCCAGGTCGGAAAGATCGTTTAGGGGGGAGAGGTGGGAGGAGGAGAGGGGGTCCCGTTCAAGGTACAGTGAAAGACGACATAGTAGAAGTATAAACAGATCCAGGAGTCGCAGTAGAGACCGGAATAGAAGAAGAAGTAGAAGTAAAGATAGGGTTAAATCTAATAGAACAGATAGGGATTCACGATCTAGAAGCAAAAGTAGAGAGAGGACCAAACGCAAGCGAAGTCGGAGCCCAAAGGAAAATGAAAAAACTAAAAGTAGCCCTAAAGAAGGTGATGGCAGCCCGCAAAAACGCCACAAACATTCGAAAAAGAGCAAAAAGAAAAGTAAGAAAAAGCATAAAAAGAAAAGCAAAGAATCACCAAGAACTAGTTCAGAAGATTCGGATAAAGAAAGTTCAATAACAACTCCCAAAACTGAGGACAAAGAGGAAGTATGTGTGAAACAGGAAGCCGAGGAGGTAAAAATTAGTCCAGAAAATGCAAATAAAGATGTTAAAGACGTTGATGAATCTTTAGAAAATAATATAAAGGAGCAAGAGTAAAAATTATAAGCTCAAAATACTTTGGATGTTTTTCATGAATTTAAGTTTGCTACAAGTTTCACAAGATTGCCCCTTCAACCTTGGGAATACAGTTTTTGTTTGACTACAGGATCTCAAACTAATAATGTAAAATTGTAAATAATGTTGCTTTGTTTTATTAAAAAGAAGAAAAACACACAAATGGTCTTTTTGAGTACATTTATTAATACTTAAAATAAAATGTTGTGGCAGTGTAATAAAAAAGTAACTTCATTTTGCACTTAACATGAGCCGAGTACATCTTTTTTCAATTATATCCAACAAAACATTATTAAGTCATTTCACCTTTTATATCCTATCTGAAACTTAGGGTGGGTCTATAATACTTTAAGCTTTTTAATAGAAAATATTCCCAAAACACAGTGATCTTTGGTCATAAATGTTAATTTTAGGCATACTTTATAGGAGGTGTAATGCCTTTTTGCATACCTAATATACAATGCCACAAGTTTCAATTGGATAAGGCGCTTGATCAATTTGTAGTTAGAATTTTAAAGGTGCATTGTGTAACTTTTCTGGTGGAGAGTCTGTCATCTTGATTTTTTTCCAGTGGGGATTTCATTGTTTTGCCTGAAATGCTCCACAGTGCAGCATTAAACATGTGTATCTTGCATTTGCTTCAATTACAGGTGTTTTTATTGCTTAAAATAACATAATCTGAACGTGTAACTTGGCTTAGTGGTGTCACTTTTTTGTCTCCATGGAGATAGATACATTTAACGCAATACTGTAAAGCACTCTAGACCAAGCAACAACATCTCCATGAAGACGAGGAGGTAACAGAACCTCCACCAGAAAAGTTGCACGTTAACTTGCAAAAATCTTGGTAGTAAATCTGTTTCTATTTAGTTCCTACACAGTATGCCCTTAGCCAAAGCATTATAAAGCACAATGTTGTGTTTTAATATATTTATTCTCTCCTTCATAAAGCTATGGGCATTTGGGATGTGACCTGAGACTTTCAACAGGCCAATTAAGACAATTCAGGAACAAGAATAATACAAGACATTAGCTACAGTTAGGCAAAAAGAATACTACAATTAATACTGTTTAAAGGGGACATGCTAACTACACTTAGATTTGATTGTGGGTGCTATGTCTAAATGAAATCTAAATAAATCTTAGTTGCTAGTTTATATAAAAATTTAAGTAGCACCTTTTAGGCCATAAAATTTCACAAATCCAAGAGTGTTGTTGCTACATTGTCAACTATGGTGGTGGTTCTCAAACTGCAGTACAAGTACCATCGGTGGCCCTTTATGTGAAGTTCAGACTTAGTTTTAGTTGTGGTTTGGTCTTAGTTCTGGACTAGTAATGATTAGGCCAGGTTTATGTTAAGATTTGTGTTGTTTTAGTTAAAGTTTAGTCCAAGTTTTGAATTGGCTGTAATTTTGCCAATTTTTATATTTGTTAGACTCAAACACAATCAGAGCTTACCTGTCTCAGTTTGAAGACAATTCAAACCTGGAATTGATTTGGTTAAGCTTTTTACCTTAGTTAGTCCTGGTTTAGTCCTATTTGAACTCACATTTTACTTCAGATGCTAAAGCCAAATGATTGTGATGGGTGGATGAACACCAAAAGTTATTAAAAGCATCCATTCTTGTGCAAAATAGATGCATTTCATTTTTTCCTGTAATACATTATTTATATATTGTTTATCTGCACATATTTGATTTTTAGAACAGTTCAAGCAAGACTGGAGCAAAAATAATGATCTGTAATAGTTTAATTTGTCTTAATAGAGGAGTTTCAAAGGATTTTAATGCAAAAATCAATGGTATCTCTATCAGAGCAATACTGCAATACTTGCCATAGTATTACTTGTATTGAATCAAAAACAATAATCCCTGGTTTTGCCCATCACTATCAAATGGAGCTTGTTCTGAACAGTTTGAGAATCACAAATACTGTATATGGAGTTTAATGGGAACTTGGCTAATTGTGCTGCTTAGTCATAGAGAGAAAGGTTTTAGTTTTTACACAGAAAAGACAACAAAACCACAATTGGCACCACAGCAAAAGACATCACAGGGGATTGGGAACACAGTACAGAATATACAGTACGGCGATGATCAAAATATTCACAACACTTGACGAGAAAATGGGGGAAATGTGGGGGACGTGAGATATGATTTTATACTGATGGTTTATGTCAGGCCAATCTCCTCCAACACGCTGCGTGGGGCCTCAGCTTCCTGTAAAGAGAAGAAGAAGATGATGAAGCAGTTAAAATATTACTATACCTTCTACATACACTCTATATTGTGTTCTTGAACTTTTTTTTTTTTGCAGAGTAAGCTATATATGTTGGATACTTCCTGAAATAGGGCACAGAGTACCTATTCTGTCAGGAACAATGGGGCAAACAGAATTTCATCAAAGTGGGGCAGAAGTGGCCCTCTGCAGATATATTATAGAGCAAAACTCAAACCAGGGATCGCATTGTACTGGGGTAAAGGCTTCATCTATTTCAGTATTGAAAATGTCACTCGTGTAAATTGAGTCTGGAGTCGCTATCTGGCCCCATTTTCAAATTATACTGATTCATTAACTATTTTCGTTATTAAAATATATATATATTTTTTTCATATTTTGTAACAGCACTACCATTCTGTTGCTTGTTTAGAAAGGAAACTTGTTTATGCAACGTGTATTAGGTATTTGGGCAGCAGTAGCTCAGTTGGTAGAGCATTCGCCCACTGATCTGAAGGTTGGCGGTTCGATTAAAAAACATCACAGGTTGAGCAGTCAGATCCACTGACCCACAGGTTGGCTAGTGTGATTCCAGCTCCCACAGATGAATGCTGCTGTTGTGTCCTTGGGCAAGACACTTAACCCACCTTGCCCACAGTGTCTGTGTACACTGGTGTGTGAATGGGTGAGTGGTTCCTTGTTGTAAAGTGCCTTGAAGGTGGAAAAGCGCTATAGAAAAAATGTGACCATTTATGATTTTTTTTTCAAGTTTATCTTTATTGTACCTGAAAGAACCGGTGTAAGGATCCATATAAGAATAATAAAACATTAAGTCAAAAGTACTCTTTTTTTGTGAGTTACATTTATATTTCATATTACATTTGTGCAGCTGGTGGTTTAACAAAGAAATACAATTGTTAAAAGGGATAGGTTCAATTGCATAAAATAGAAAAATGCATGTAAGCAAAATTTAACCCAGTCTCTTGCTGTTTTTTTATTGCTACTTATTTAGAAGTTTATTACCATTTTATATATAAATAAATATATATATATATATATATATATATATATATATATATATATATATTTTTTTTTTTTTTTTTTTGCTCTTTGGTATTGTAATATAATGTGATATGTGAGCTACTGTGTCTAAGTAATTTCCCTTGTGGATCAATAAAGTCTAAGTCTAAAATCATTTTATCATTGGTCTTGTGTGTATGGTATTGAGTTGTGAGGGACCCTGTGATTCCCAGCCCTAGTATACATACAGTTATATTTTTGTTTTAAATTGAAGCTATCATAAAATCAATACTAAAATACTGGCCCCTGCCCCCATCTGACACTCCATAAATGTATTACAGCTTTAGTAGTGTACCTCTTGCAGCAGATCGGCCTGTTCGATTGCCTTTAGCACATTCTTCTTGGACGTCTCCTGAGCCTCTCCTCCCAACAGGAACTCGTCCAGGATAAAGTAGGCTTTCTCAAAATTGAAAATAATGTCCAGCTCACAAACCTATGACGTAACACATACAGCATGGGGTCAGACAGGTCTAAAAACAGTTAATTTTGGTGTAGTTTGGAGTCTTGCAAAACTCACACTGCCAAAGTATTTGTCCAGCAGCTCCACATATCTGTGAATGATCTCCAGGGTGATCAGCTCATTGTCCTGATCTTCAACAGCGCAGCAGAAATACAAACTTGCATATCTGAAAAGTCAAAAGGGCAAAGAAATAAGACAAAGGGTTGAAGGCAATCTTTACATTTCCACAATCTAATCTTACATAAAATTTGGGAGTACACCTGGAACTAAACCTGGAGTAGACCAGAAATAAAACAGGACCAAGCCAAATCAACATTTGGACTGTGCCCAAACCAAGACCAAACCAGGACAAATGTGGAGCAGTCTTTTTTCTTTTATTGTAAATGAAGAGCAACAGCAATAGTGTACAGTGCACATTGGGCCAGGATGTGTGTGGGTGAGTGGGTGTTCTTTTTTTTTTTTTCAAATATAACAAATTTTTGTTTTCACAGTGTGACCACAGTCTTAAAGTGTACATCTTGTTTTATTAGTTGATATATATTAAGTTAAGTCCTTATTTAACATTATATAAGTACATTAGAATTACAAGGAGTCACTGGAAGGTTAGTTATATGTAGATTTATTGGAGAGGTCTTCACAATTTGGGAGACTTATGTCAACTGTATTAAAATTAATTTAGATATTTTAATTCGGTTTAGAGAGCACAGCCCAGTACATGTTTAGCTCTGCTTTAGTCCTGGTTTGGGGTTTGGTCTATTTGAAGATAAACTAGCCCTAATCATTGTTTAACCCTGGTTCTTTTAGCTAACTTTAGTCAGCTGAAAATGGTTCCTCCAAAAAAGGCAAAACATTTTGATGTATTATTTTTTTTCAATAGCAATAACCAAGAACTCAATTACAACTCCTCACTTCAATACTCTTTATGGAATTAAAAACATGAACATTTGGCTTTTATTTTAATTAACATGACATTTTCTAAACCAACTGTAATCTTTCACTTTCTGAATCATGGTCTCTACTGGCCTCTTTGTTTTTGTTGTGTTCAGCGTCAACAGTACAATAATATTCAGCATTTTCAGTGCATGTCTGAATCATTGTTGCCCATTGTGGAGCTGTAAATTGTGAGGGGGAGGCAGTTTGGCTTCAAAGCTCAACAGACTGTTTCAAGTGAATATGAACAAAAAAATCTTCAGAGATGAGCAAATTTTGTTTTCATCTTTTTCAGTCAGACATAAAAGCTATAAAATTAATGCAAAAACATTTCAATGTACAGTATTAGTTACACAGGGGTCTAATCTGACAACATCGCCCCTATTCTTTCTAAACACTGCTTTGAAAACAATATTAGTGTGTGAGAATGTTTATTTTACAGGCTTTTATGTTGACTAAGACTTTAACACTTTGTCTATTGATAGTATGAGTACTTCCATTGTAACAACAGACTGACCTTGAATTAGATACTGTACAGTTTTACTCACCTCTTGTAGACAATTTTGAGGTCCCTCCACTCCAGAAAACTGCACATTTTGGGTTTTCGGGCCAAAATGGTCTGGACCAGATCCCTGGAGATCTTCTTCCGTTCTTTGTCGGACAGAGGCACATACCATTTCTGTAAGCGCAGTTTCCCCTGACGGCTAAACAACAGCATGAACTGCATCTACAGGAAAAGGAAAACAGCCCATTTATGCAATTACAATGAGTCAACAGGGCATGCAATGAAACAGGAAGGCACCCACTAGAAGAACTATAAGGTAAGGTAAATCTGTAATAATAAAACATATAACAGAAAGTATGACTGTATATAATCATTTCTCCCTGAGCTACACATTTACAATATTTAAACGTGTACTGCACAAAATTAAATATTTAACCAAAAGATGACTAGACAGGAAAAAAATAGCTGATCAGCCTTGACTGTGACCACTTTTAACAACAATACACAAACGTGCCCGTGTTATAATATGGCTAAAAATACAGCCAGCTCGGACCACTGATTGATTATATTGAGTTGTATGCAATAATCTAATTAAGCACAATAACAACACAAGAAAGTGTAATTTGCGCCCCCTCCTGCGACGCGTGGCGGCGGTCTATCTACAAAAATACAAATCCTTACCATTGATGAGGGCTTGGCGTTGTCTTTTGGCTTATTCTCTTACAATTCAAGCGACAAACATGGCAAAAAATAGCAGAAAATGTGAGGAGCAGAAGTCAGTATTGTCTCGCCTGTTAGCCTGCTGATGCTAACAGCACGACGGTGGAGACAGGGCGCCTCTGATTGGCTGACGGGGCCTGAGCGCTGCGATCTGATTGGCTAAAAAATCCCGTTATTCGCCAAATCATCAAAAATACTTTTTATACTTTAATCAATAATCATTTCATTTTCCATTGTTTATTTAATTGATTTTTTTCATTATATTATTATTTTACATAAACAGTATGGTTTTATTTGTTTTACTCTTTCATTTAACGTTCTTTTTTTTTTTTTCGTTGATTTGTTTTATTTATTATCTTAGCTTAATTTATTTATCTGTGGTTACTGAACCGGTTAGATATGATGTTATTTGTTGGGATAGAGAGAAATGTAATTTTGATTCCTTTGAATGTCTAGTACAAGTGAAGAAACTGACAATAAAGCTAACTTCGAACTTTTTAAGTCAATGTCTTTTTTTTTTTTTTTAACAAAATGAATTATAATGTTTATGCATTATTGTTATTATTATTATTATTATTATTATTATTATTATTATTATTATTATTATTATTATTATTATTAACTGCATTTTATTATTGATTATTATTGTATTGTACATATATAATCAACCTTTTAATAAACAGATATATATATATTTTTTCTGTTACATTTTAGTGAACTAGCCATGGTAACGAAAGCCTTTACTTTGGCGGCCTCTACTGGATCAACATAGAACTACAGGTGAGAATTTGCGATCACCTGATGGAAACCCGTCAAGATGCACTCCTTTCTCATTTAGAGGCCTTACAACGTTTTAAATCGCTTTTTACTTTACACTACAAGCGATATGGATGTAATTACCGGGCCATTTATCTTGAGTGTTGCTGAACGCTAGCATACGGGCTAGCATACTTCTCTAGCAGCCTCCGCAGTGAAGGTGCCCTGCTAATAAAATGGACTGCAGAGTTTAAATGATGAACCAAGGCACGGTAGGTTCCTACAAGATTACCCTGCATGTCTGACATTTTTGCAGTGACCGTGTGCTTGCGTCTCGTTGTCAAAATGTAAAATAACACGTTTATTTGTTTGAACAGTGATCATAATGAGGAGTCGCAGTAACTCGGGAGTACGACTTGATGGTTATGCCAGGCTGGTACATGAGACGATCCTATGCCATCAGGTTTGTTCAGTATTTCTACAAAAAAAAAAAAACATAATTTCCTCCTCAAAAGCCATTTTATGCAAAGTATGTGTAGCACATGTTAAGTTCAGTGTGTCACTGGCTAATTTGGCTATGGGCCATAGTGGAAAAACGGGTTTGACTAATGTTTTTGCCAGCATTGTGCTAAAATAAAGCAATCTGGGAAGTCATTTGAACGTGCCAGAACTAGCAATGACATGTTGGTTAATAATAAAGATGAAAATTTTCTAATACAAATGAGTAGGCAATCAAGTAATGTGGAATAGTAATAATCAAGATACCACAACTGTACTTTTTACAATAATTTCACTTATAGTAGAGTTATACAGTTTTAAATACTAAATATATAACATGTTTTATTTATTTTATTCAATTTATTCATTATTTTAACTTAATTTAAAGTATTAATAATTAGTATTAATACCTAATTATGCACTCTCAGTTCACACAAACACCTTTTACATACCAGCCGCAGACAGCAATCTATTTCTCAGATATAGACACACAACACTGCTATGTTTACGGATTCAACTAGCATAAACTGTTTGTGAACGGACACGAGAAAAGTTTGGGGCAAAGGTCAAAAAACAGCCATGTCTGTTACTGATAGTTATTTGTGTTTATATCAGCTGCTGTCTACTCTAAGTATAAACTAGGAATCTAATGTCAGCAATGTAGCACTTCAGATTATGCGGTTGTAGAGTTTCCATAAGACTGTTGTTACATATAATAGTAGGCTTGAGTTTAGCCTTGGTTTAAATGAGTCTGTGGTGTAGTTACGGCCAAGCTACTACTGCTTTATAACAATATGTGCTCCAAATGTGCTACAGGATAAGCAATTTTGTTTGTGATAGGTTGACAATAATTGATTAAAATAGTTCTTATAAACAAAATCATGTCTGAATTAAGCCGAAAGTCTTTTTTTATTTAAATAATATGACTATACAGATCATTAGCGGGATGCTTAATACTTTTCAGATGCTACAGACATTTATTCATGAAACATACCAAAATACCACTGTTACATTCTCTTAACATTATCATTCTAAACCCAAACATTATTAATGCTATTTATTTGTTGTTAATACAGTTAATTCACACATTGCATATTCTCTGAAGATGATGAAAAAATTACGTAATATTTTCAGAACCCAGTGACTGGCCTGCTTCCTGCCAGTTCTCAGCAGAAGGATGCCTGGGTGCGGGATAATGTGTACAGCGTCATGTCCGTGTGGGCGCTGGGAATGGCCTATCGTAAAAACGCTGACCGCGACGAGGACAAGGCCAAAGCGTATGAGCTGGAGCAGGTGAGGCTACTGTACAAGAGGAGTGTGTTTGTTCTTGACATGTGCGCTCAGTATTTGACTGTACTATGAGTACAGCTGTGTGAGTTTCATTCAAGGGTCAGATTATCACATACTCACATTACTATCACAGTTTTTTGTACTTTTTTCAGATTTTTTTCTTATTATTTTTATTTTGTTCTCTAGTAACACTTAGTAAGTCAAACCTGCAAATCATTTGTAAACATTTGTTAGCCATTATTAACTAAGTACATTACAATACAATATATACAGTACAAGTTGTTAATAATTTTTTATAATTTTTTAAATTCCTAATAAAATATTTATGAAAGTTTTATTAATCAATAATAATACTTTTTATCTTGCTCATGTTTGTAAATGATTATTAAACACCTGTTGATGTGTAAGCAATTTTTAGTAAATGATTAGTTAACGGTTGATACAAATGATTTGTAGGTAGGCATTATTAAAAACTGTTACCTATTCTGTATACATTATAACACACATGAGTTACCTTTTAATAGTTTAATCTGCATATAAGAAATTGGTAATAAAAATAGATTAAGTGACTTCACATGTTGAATTTAACTTTAAAAGTATAAAAAGCATTTAAAGTGTTTAAATATCTAACATAACTACAATATTAAAGCATTGTTACCTGTTGTATTTGTCATTTATTTGACAGAGTGTGGTGAAGCTGATGCAAGGTCTCCTTCAGTGCATGATGCGGCAGGTAAGACTCGCATGAAATGTTCTGTCTTTGGGACATTAGCCTTTGGCTATAATCCGGGGTGTTTACATTCCTGTTGTATCATGTCTGTGTAATAACATGCACTGTCCCAATCAAATAAATAAGATTAATAAAAACAGATAACTGCAGCAAACTGTTTACAGTATACATTTCTATTGGCCTAAAGTTATTTTGGCTTATTTCAAGGCTTATAGCTGATGTTTTAGGCAAAGACGAACACATGATAACTAAGGTAGCAATGCTGCTTTGGGTAAAATGTGTATATGTGTATGTATAAACAAAACTAAATAATGTATATATGACATTTGGCCCTAAAATGATAAATAATACACCATTAGTAAGGTATTAAATTATATTATTTCACAATATTTACAGGAATTACATTTGGAGATAGGTTGGGAATATGTTTCGAAATCGATTTGTGTTTTTGCTTTCTTAATTATTAAAGGTACAGTTTGTAACATTCTGGACGTGGCCTGTCGCTTGTATAATTCCATGAAAATAGAGAGTTAACAAACTTCAGAACATTCTCCATGGAGATAGATACATTTTTATTTGATTCTATTCCTTGGCAAAAAATGTACATATTGTAGCTTTAAACTAATTGTGTTTGTCAGTTTTGCCAGTGTATCCTTGGAGATCACTTTAATATGTAGGGCACAGAGCTATCAAGTTTCTTTCCTATAATCCTTTTAGTAATGGTCTGTGCAGCTAAACCATGCTCCACCCTGCCCTCAGGTGGCCAAAGTGGAGAAGTTCAAACAGACACAGAGCACAAAGGACTGTCTTCATGCGAAATACGACACTCCCACCTGCGCCACGGTGGTGGGCGATGACCAGTGGGGGCACCTCCAGGTCGATGCCACTTCCATCTACCTGCTGACTCTGGCTCAGATGACTGCCTCAGGTACAGTGTGGTAGTTAGTAAACATTGCACACATTTTACACTTCCAGAAAAAATACTGTTTATATGTGATTGGTACTGATAAAACCAACTATGTTTATTACTAGTAATACTAACTCATAGTAATATAATAGCACCATTTGTCAGATAATTAGCTTGTTGTTTTTTTTGGGACTCATGAGTACTTTTAAAGTTACCATCTATAACTAGACTGGCCAACCCAACCCTGTGTATTCTCATATGCAACCACTAGATGCTATCTACAGTACTTCTGGCTGATAGTGTGTAGTGCTGGGTATCATTAAGAAGTTGCCAATACGATACATATATCAATACAGTGCACTTTCGATTCGATACGATATATTTCAAATTCATTCGATAAGGTTCAATAAAAAATAATGGCTAAATCATGGCTGTGATACAAAATATCTTTGTTAAACTACTTCTTGCAAAAGGTGAATATGAAACACACCCATTTTAATCATAAAAATAGTGAAAAGGTAATTTTTTTTGCATAAATAAGTTTAAACAAACAACAAACCTGTAGCACTGCAACAAAATAATTAACTAAAAATTACTTTTTAGTTAATTATTTTTTTAATTTACATAAAAAAAATACAGGAAATAATGACTGGAATCGATCGATTAAAATCACAAAAATGTATTCCCTATTCAGTACAATTCTAATACAGAGCTCTGGGTCAAATCACTGTCCCTGATGGCCTACAGCTACACAGGACTTAACATCAGGCGGTCTGAACGCATGAGTTTCCCTCAACCCAGAAATATAAAACAACAACATGAATATGCAAATGATATGTTGAGCAGGTTCACGCCTTGGATCCTCCCTGAAGCATCTCCGTTGTCCTTTACCATAAGGGGATGAGTCTATTTAGGCATGGTGCCAGCCAGGATGACCCCACTGCAGCTGCTCTGTAAAGAATTTCTTTAAAAATACACAACCTTCTCAGCAGTATCTTTAAACATATATATCAGATTTCAGTGGTTAAGAATTAACTCATTGTGTGACTTCATTAACAATATTTAAACAAATATATAATTTCAGTATTTAATAATTGCATGTGGTACACACACGATCCTTTATTAACAGAAGATACAACCTTCACTACTCTTGCCAATATATCGATACAGCTGCCCACGATAACGATATTGTATCATCACATTAAATAATACGATATATCAATATTTCAATATTTTTGAACACCCCTAATAGTGTCCCAGTTTTGATCTGACAGAAGAAAAGTGCCCAGGTGAGCCTAAACAAAAGTCAGGTGAGGTGAGGGGGGAAACAGGATCAGTTTATAAAATAAAATCAAACATTTTACCTTACATGAAATTCAAGCACTTGTACATGTCAAAAGTTGAACCAAATATTACTTGTTGTTTTGTAGGTCTTCGGATCATTTCGAACCTGGATGAAGTAGCTTTTATTCAAAATCTTGTCTTCTACATTGAGGCTGCATATAAAGTAGCAGTAAGTTAACATCCTTGCTCCCTCTTTTTTTGGTTAGACAATTTTAACTTTAACATGTTTTTTTGTCTTTTAGGATTTTGGGATGTGGGAACGTGGGGACAAAACTAATCAAGGCATCGCTGAGCTGAATGCCAGTTCTGTGGGAATGGCCAAGGTATGAAATGGCTCAGATTAAAGTAGTTTTATGTAAAGAAAGACACACAATGGCTGTATTCATATTGCACAGGGAAATTCAGATAAGACACATACCTCTACTTCATATCTACCTCATAATATCAGTGAGAGAGAGAGATAAATAGTAAGTAAGAAATAAAAGGAAAAGATAATAATTAAGTAATCCTCATATAAAATTAAAAAATCTTCTTCTACATCATAGCTACCTCTTAAAGAGCAAAGATAGAAAATCAAAGTAATTATCATTTATAAACCATTCTGACTAACCTTATTTATTCTAACAATGTCTGCCTTCATTTTTTGCATCATATTATTTGTTAAGTTACATTTCTTTCCTGTTAAGAATCTAGATCATGTTAACTGTTCTCATTTATCGCGAGTAGCTTTTAGTGGCCTATTTGGCTTTAGTTTTTTTTTTTATAGTATTATTAACTTTATTAATATTATTATTTTCTGTCCTTTTAATCCCCAGGCTGCTCTTGAGGCCATAGATGAGCTGGATCTCTTCGGTGCACACGGAGGACCCAAGTCTGTGATCCATGTTTTACCTGATGAAGTCGAACACTGCCAGGTAAACCAGACTAAACAAGAACTCAGAATCGAGGACCAAACCAGGACTAAACCAGAACCAAACCAGGATATAAACCAGATCCAAACTGGGACTAAACTAAACCAAAACCAAACCAGGACTAAACCAGGACATAAGCCAGAACCAAATCAAGACTAAATTAAACCAGAATTAAATCAGAACTAAACCAGGACTAAACAAGGACTAAACCACAACCAAGGCAGGACTAAGCTAAACCAGGACTAAACCAGAACAAAACCGGGATATACTAAAAAATAAGAAGGCAACATCTGGACTAAACCTGAAAAAAATCAAGACTAAACTAGGACAAAAGTGGGACTAAATCAGGATAAACTAAACGCTAGCTCTAAACCTGGACTTAAACCAGAACTAAACGTTGATTGACTGACTGAACAGGATCCTCATCAGAACTGATGGAAGACTATATCAGAACAAAACAAAAAAAAGAGGATTTTGTGTACAGTTTCTAATCATCATAATTTTAATGCATTTTTCCCAGTCCATCTTGTGCTCCATGCTGCCGAGAGCCTCACCTTCAAAGGAGATTGACGCTGGGCTTCTGTCGGTCATTTCTTTTCCTGCTTTTGCTGTTGAAAACGCAGAGCTGGTATCGATTACAAAGTCAGAGATCATAAACAAATTACAGGTAACTAAAACAATACAATCACTGTGTTTAAATTTAAAGTGTAATTTTGTAACTAATATGTGTTTTTATTTTTCTCATAGGGACGTTATGGCTGCTGTAGATTTATCAGAGATGGGTATCGCTGTCCCAAAGAGGTAATAATCAACATCAAAATGAACAAAACATCAAAATTTCAGAGCTGTGTTAGGAAATTTATCTACCACAAATTTTGTTGTATAATGTAGTATGACAAATAGCTATGTTATGCTGATAATTACGTATATTTTCATTTAAAATGGCATGGGATACAACTGCATTAATACACGTTTTATAATACAATGAGATATTAAGGCCTATTATTGTTTTGTTCAGGATCCCACACGGCTGCACTATGACCCTGCTGAGCTCAAACTGTTTGAGAACATCGAATGTGAGTGGCCTCTTTTCTGGACCTACCTGATCCTGGACGGGGTTTTTTCTGGAGATCTTGGACAGGTAATATTCTCTTTAAAAATCTATTTTGTGTTTGTGAATTCACCTAAATGTTTAAGATAATTTTGTATTGTAGGTGGAGGAGTACAGAGAAGCGTTAGAGGGCATTTTGATCAGACAGAAGAACGGCATCAAACTGCTGCCTGAGCTGTACTCGGTGCCACATGACAAGGTAATCTGTGTGCAAAAATAGACCAGGAGAGCACTTCAATGGGCTGATAATTTAATCTGAAAATAGAGGCTGCTAACAGCTCAAGTGCAAATGGTATTAGAAAATCAATGTCAAATAAGATGTAGTAGTTTAGATTTAGTTTTAAACCAATGCCACTCATTTCAAATTCTCAGAAATAATGGTGTCAATATTGGACACCTGCTTGTTTCCATTGAGACTGATACATTTGTACAGTGAAACATTCTTGGCAAAGCAAGCAGTGACATCTTCATGGCGATAACAGGTGGCGGACCCTTTATCAGAACTGTTACATACTCATATCATTGGTTTTCAGAATCAAAGATTCTGATTGGAGATGTCATACTATCAGTGAGCAAGATCCAGTTTCCTTTTCATTAAATTGTATTTTGCCATGAAATATTAAAAAGATAAATGCACATATGTTGAACTTGATCTTTTGTGTTAGTAAGTAGACCTGAAAACCAAAATTACAACATAAAGCTGCTTTTTAATAATATTAATTTTAGCTACCCCCATCTGTATTAAATATTATAGGCCTGTAGAGTATTATGATGTCATCTGAAACATGATTATATTGTAAAAATCCCTTGTGTTGTGTCTGTTTTCAGGTGGAGGAGGAATACAGAAACCCTCACACAGTGGACCGTGTGTGTTTGGGGCAGCTGCCTCACATGTGGGGCCAGTCCCTCTACATCGTGGGCTCTCTGCTGGCCGAGGTACACCAACACAGACACATGCAGCCAAACCAAACCATTCACAGTGTAAAATATGTTTAAACTATGAACGGGCACTTTTTGCTTGCTTCCTGTTAAATAAAACAGTTGATCGTATCGTATTATAATACAGTGTAATATTGTCACTTTTATTTAGGGTTTCTTGGCTCCAGGAGAGATTGATCCCCTCAACAGGAGATTCTCTACAAACGTGAAACCAGATGTTGTTGTACAAGGTAACAGTTGCCCAAAAGACCCAAGTTGATTAGATTGGTATTAGTATATGCTAGTTTTTATTCACTTTTATTTGGGAAAAACAATTTTTGCCCACAAAATTATTAATTATAATATAGCACCATTTTTATTACTTGTTACATATAGTCAAGTGTGATTGTGCCTAATGTTAATGTTTTTAAATTTAATCTAATTTGTTGTAGCTGTCTAAGTTGTTACAAAGTACAGCATCTTGTTTCAGTGTATATTTAAATAAAAAAGCATGTCCTCTATTTTAACACATTGTTTATATATATTTTAAAAATAATTTGTACAAGGTATTATAATGTATCACCATCAGTGTATATAAAAGTACTTCTCTTGTTGTTTTTCCCTTGTGCAGTTTGTGTTTTGGCTGAGTCGGAGGAGATCCAGGAGCTACTCAATGACCTCGGGTTTAATGTTCAGAAGATGTCAGATGTTCAGCCGATTCGAGTTCTACCCGCACGAATCCTCAGCCACATCTACGTCCGCCTCGGTAAAGACTGAAAATAATTTACTATTAGGATTTATGTGAGGAATAGTTAAAGACATTGGAATAAAAATACAGATTGTCCTTAATAGGGATGTAAGAATAACCAAAATATTGTGATATCGTATCATCAAAGGTCTTCAGTAATATCATGGACCATCACAGTATATCAAATTACAACTCTTTTTGCTTAAATTCATTGTTATAGTGCAGCATGAACTAGAAAAACTGAGGGAACTACATAGACCACGATCCTTTACTCCATTTCAGTGTCACTACATGAATAAATATCTAGTCGTTAATACAGATTAAAAGAGCTCAACATATTCTCTTTTTACTATATGCCATTGTCAAAACTGGATTTATTTATTTATACTATTATATTTCTGTTTCAACAATGATTCACAACGATTAAACGTTGTGCAACAGAAGAGATAAATCATGAAATCAATACAATTTTGGCACTTCACAGGAATAAACTTTCTTTTCCTTCACAGTGACACAGTCCTTATTCATCCTTAATCCTTAGTACTATTGTCTTTATTTTCAGGGTACAGTAAAAAGCTGAATTTAAGTGGGAGGCCTTACAGACACATTGGAGTTTTGGGAACATCCAAGTTTTACGAAATCAGAGACCGGTCTTATACATTCACTCCACAGGTACTTATTATTTACACTGAAATATAGGGCTATGTATAAAGTGTCTCTAATGCCATCCTCTCTCTCATAATTAGTTTTTGGATCAGCACCATTTCTACCTGGCTCTGGATAACCAAATGATCGTCGAAATGTTACGGACAGAAGTGGCATATTTGTCGTCGTGTTGGAGGATGACCGGACGCCCCACTCTCACCTTCCCCATCACACGCAGCATGTTAGGTACAACTTCATTTCATTTATTATCCAGTTTGTAATATATAATTTCTGTGCAGAATTAGTCTTTTCTTGAGGCGGTCTTTCAGAACACTAACCTTATTTTGTAATGTTGTTGAGTGTTAATGACATATTTGATTTTTCATTGTAAAAATGGCTTTTACTGGTAACACTGTGAAACATTTCAGGCAAAAAAATGTCCAATGTTTAGTAGAAGGTTGTGAAAAGTTACAAGATGCAGCTTCAGTGAGTAGGCTAGTTGGTGGAGTGTTCGAAGGTTGGGGGTTCCAGTCCCGCACTCAACATAAACATAATTGGTTGAGCAGTCAGATTCACAGGTCCACAGATTAGCAGTGTTACTCTAGCTCCAAAAAATGAATGGTGTCATTGTGTCTTTGGGCAAGACACTTAACCCATCTCGCCCCCCGTGTGTGCGTATACTCTTGTATGAATGTGTGTGTGACTGGATCCTTGATGTGGAGCATTTTGAATGCCTTACGGTGGAAAAGCTCTATATAAAATTGTGACCATTTATCATACCATTACCATTTAATTACATATTTACTGCAACTTTTTGTTATTTATTATGGAGAATGCATATACATTTACACTTGCTGTGGAATATATCTATTATATTATATACTGTTATGTATATTGTGTACATTATGTGTTCCATTCTAATGTTGAAATGTCCATTTATCTGTAATAGTTGACGATGGAGATGCCATAGATCCGTGTATCATCACAACTCTTCGTAAACTGCAGGACGGATACTTCGCTGGAGCAAGGTCTGTTTGGACTTAAAGTACATTTTGCATGAAAATGAAGTTCAAGTTTTCAGACTTATTACCACTTCCACACAAAAATAGGTTTCCACAAAATTATGAAGTAGCCTTAATATTGTGCTTGATTTAAATTTTTAGGACATGCACCCAGATTAATGAGTTAACAAATAGAAATCTACATTTACTGCTGCATTTTAAGATTGCCGTAGGACTATTGCATACATATTTTTTCCCATATCATCTGGAGACATTGTAGAGTTTGGATGATGACATTGGTGACATTGTTCCTGTATTTACAGAGTTCAGATGTCAGACCTGTCCAGTTTTCAGACCACGTCATTTCACACTCGCCTCAGTTTCCTCGATGAAGACAACGATGATTTTGAGGAAGAAGCCGATAATGACGAGGAGTTAGGAGACACTTATGACACCTATAGCTCTTCAGGTAAAGGTTTTAGATGTGGGTTTTAAAGTGATAAATCTCAAATAGGGTTGTCAAAAATATTTTAAAAATCCAATATGAATCAATACTAAAACTAGTATCAAAACTATATGCATTCATTTGAGAAAGTAAAATGTAAATGTAAACGAAATCTGACCTTTTCGGAACAGTTTTATGATGATCGTGAGCTAATAGAGAGCTGGTATAAAACCTCATGGTAACACAAGGGATGTACTATCATATTGTGATGAAAAGTACCACCTATTTTTCATTATCATGGTGATATCAAAATCGATATTGAATATCAGTCCTATTCCTTAGTCCTCGAAATCAAGTTTGAAATTATTGTGACTGTTGTGACTGATTATTCAGTTATTGTGTTACAGTTATGGTGCACCAGAATCTTATCTAATATTTTGGTAGATTTACATTTAAAATTTCCATATAAAATTATTTCTGATCACTGTAACACTATCAAGCAATTATTAGATCAAAACAAACATGCACATGTCACATAACAAAAACACCACAGGCGACCATACCCTATCTTGTTGCTATGGTAACTGGTGATTTTGAGCTTTCAGTGCTGTTTTTACCTATACATAATACATTTTTTGTGTTACCCAGAAAACACAGACGACATCTTTAACCAGTACTTGACCCAGCTTCTCCACAGCACTTCTACAAAGAGCCACCTCCCTCCCATCCAGAGGGGGCAGCACCATGTCTTCAGTGCAGAACACACCACTAGGGACATCCTGTCTCTGATGGCCAAAGTCCAAGGCCTCAGCATCCCTCGTGAGTTAAGCATTTATCTTCAGCCTCCATTTGAGAAGGTTTGGCCCATAAACCACTGTATGAAAATCACAATTCACATGTAACAGCATTCACATACCAAGTATCATCTTCTGAGTACAATTAGTAAAAGAGTTTAAAATGTGGACTAAACCAGAACAAGAAATGGACAAATGGATTCTAAACCAAGACTATGCAATCAGAGCAGAACTAAGCATAACGACCCTAAAAAAACTGACCTAACCAGACCCGTTTACTTTTTGTTTGAATGAAGATGGGCCTGGAATCGGACCATAGAGAACAGAAAACCTCTCTAGCTTGTCTGACCACAGCAAAGACATCTCCTCTCTTAAGATTCTTGTAACATTCAGAACAAAATATATAGCTTATTTTGCCTCAAAAAAATAAAAGCATGTAAGAGAGTCAGGTTCTGGCTGTGAAGGGTGATTAAAAAAATATTAATAGATATCACCAGAGATACCGCATATATGTAAAAACATATGTCCGCTGTCTTGTTTTTCATTTTCATCTGCTTATCAGAGGCCTCCATGTACCTCCCTGTCACTCCTGCCATGACCAACAGAAAACACAGAAAAACCCTGAACCTGCTGGAGGTGCCCCATGTGCACCACGGACACCACAACAAACAGCAGAAGGTGGGAGCAGCCATCTTTTTACTGCCACAATCTTTTTACCTGTCCCTGATTGGCTATTTGACACAAAGTAATGCACTCTTATTTGATTTTAGTACTTTTTATGTGTACTTTCAAAGATGTAATCCAATTGTTCTGGGAGTTACACATCACACTGATTGGTTAAATCCAATAGAAGGAGTGAGTGGAGAAAAGTATACAGCCTAGTACTAGCACCAGTGTGAAGTGGTCAAATAAGAAAATAGATGGGCCTAATTTAATTTTGATGAGGAATAAATCATGCCTATATGTTTCAGAGTATAAAAATTATTTGTAATTTTTAACATTCATGTCCTATTTCTGTTATGTTAACATGTGTCTACTTTAAAGCCATATGATTAGTGTACATGTTTAGTCTGACCCTGGTCTCCCACAGCCCCACAGTATAGCCGACCTGCACCTGCCCCGGGACGCTCAGGGGAACACAGACTTCTCGGCTTTAGTCAAACAGTTGAAGGAATGTCCGACTCTACAGGACCAGGCCGACATCCTCTACATTCTCTACATGATGAAGTAAGACCCCAGTGGCAAATGAGTGAATGAAAGGGACATACTCCTTTTAGATTAGGTATTTTTAGATTTTGATTTAAATTGTCATAAACTTAACCTATCTGTGTCCCCAGATATGAGATAAGCATGTTCAAATCAAATGCAGGTTGTACTGATATCTGATGTCCCATTTGTTTATCTTATAATTTGTATACTGAAATCCTGTTGTTTTAAACCTAAATGCCTGTATAATTGTTATAATTCTGTTGCTCAGAGGTCCAGACTGGATGGTGGAGCTCTCTGGTCCTGGTCAGGGGGCTGTGAGCGTGCGGGTGCTGCTGGAGGAGCTTTATGTTCAGGCTGGCGCCTCCAAAGAGTGGGGCCTCATCAGATACATCTCTGGGATGCTCCGGAAGAGAGTAGAAGTTTTGGCTGAGGTATATGTACTATATACTTTTTATGTTTTTTGTTTTCTTTAAAGCTTGACACCCATGAATACACTACCTGTTTTTAAATTATTTCTTGAATACCTTTAACTCAGTTTTACAATTGCTGAGTTGTTTATTTTGTGATTTATATGTGTTTTGTTTGCATACCTATATGGTATTTGCATCATTAGTCATAGTGTATATTTCTGCCTCTTCACACAGGCCTGCACAGACCTTATCTCTCACCACAAACAGCTCACAGTTGGACTTCCCCCTGAGCCAAGAGAGAGAATAATCACTGTGTATGATAAATATATTGAATAAACATTATTAAAGTCATTTAAAGTTAATTAAGTTTTTCTTCTCCTTTTCCAGGCCCCTTCCTCCAGAGGAACTCAACAATCTTATTTATGAAGCCAGTGGACAGGACATTAGCATTGCTGTGCTCACACAGGTACAAGTCTAATTCAGCTGTAGATTTTTAAAGTATCTATTAATATTTATGTTGCTGTAGAGCTGAAATATTAATCACAAATGAAGTCGCAATTTGATAATTTGTGTGTAATCCCTCAGTCATCCAAGTAGGAGCCATATCAATTCTGTCAAATGGACAACTGGACTTTGCTACCTCTATGAGTTTTAGTGAATGAAATCTGTTAACCCTGTAGTTTAGGCCTCAAACATGCTCTGAAATGTCCTTTAATGTGTGTTTTTGTCACAGGAGATCATGGTGTACTTGGCCATGTACGTACGTGCTCAGCCCTCTCTGTTCGGGGACATGTTGAGGCTCAGAATTGGCCTCATTATGCAGGTGATGGCCACAGAGCTCGCACGCAGCCTCCACTGCTCTGGTGAGAACTCTGATGTTTACAGTTTTTACTGTTACATACTAAAACGTGCACAGTAGGCTTGCCTTTCATGTAGGTACTTCTAACAAAAGCTCAGCCAAGATCTGCCCTACATTATGGCTATTCAGTGCTGAGTCAGTGCTGATTTGTTGCCCTAGCTGTGTAAATCGATGGGTCAAATGCAATGTGCTGGGGCTGTTCTTCATGTATCTCTACACACAACACACAAAAATTTTTAAGATGGACTGAGTAACAGAGCTTCAGACAGAGCAGTGTCTTCAGTTAGCTTCACAGCCTCAGGGAATGTTGATGAGATGACAAACTTTAATGAATGTTTTCAGGTGAGGAGGCGTCTGAGAGCCTGATGAGCCTCAGTCCTTTTGGGATGAAGAGTTTGCTCCATCACATCCTCAGTGGGAAAGAGTTTGGGGTGGAACGCAGCGGTGAGTTTCATTTACAAAACTATAAAACGTAAATTAGGACTGCAAGATTAATCACTATTGAATTCAAATCGCAATTCAAATGGACCCAATAAGCAAATCATTAAGGCTGCAATTTTTGAATTACCATCGTTTTCTCCACAGACAGTTTAATATTCTGTTTGTATAAAACCTGCTAGTAGGTCTGAACAAACCACAGACTGTATAAGCAAGTGGTCTAAGGAAGTGTGACTTCACCCGTACTGTTTGGCTCCAGTCAAATGAAGCTCACAGAAGCTGCAAGTTATGGGGCGAATTTGGAGCCAAGTTTCATATTAGCAATAAGAATTGATTTACGGGCAAAAAAGCAAAATAAAAACACCAGGATCATGTAGAACAGGTTAATACAAACATTTTAAGACCAAATAATGAGGCTCACTGCAACAGTTAAAGAGAGGAGTGACAATTTTTCATTTTAAAGCCAATTGGAACAAGAGTCGATTGCGCCAGAAGCACCCCCATGCTCACTTCTTATTTGGAATGTGGCAGCTAGCAGTTTAACTTTGTCCATTTATCTATACAGTCAAAGGTACAAACACATCACTTTAGTCACAAGAGACATGTGTTATTTACTTTTCAGAAGCTAGAAGGGAAGTTGAAATCATTTGTTCTTACATGCTGTATTTATGTTGATTTTCTGATAACGTTCTAGTGCGTCCAATCCAATCCACTGCCACCAGCCCGGCCATCTCCATCCGGGAAATCGGCCACACTGGAGCCACCAAAACCGAGCGCTCCGGGATCCACAAACTCAAGAGTGAAATTAAACAGGTGCGGCATCAAACAGACTAAAACAAAAAAAATATGAGTTTAGAGAAGGTGCATTGTGTAACTTTTCTGGTGGAGGACCCGTCATCTGCTTGTTTGTATGGATTGCTCTGCCTGGAATGTTCCATGACATTAAACAGCTCTACCTTACATTTATTCAATTACAGGTGGTTTTATAGCACAAAAATACCTAGAAAAACAGGCATTCTGACTGGGAGCAAATTGCCTCTCTACAGATCTGACCTGTAACTTTGTCTGGTTTGGTCTCCATGAAGATAGAAAGGTTTAATGTCATACTGTAGAACATTCCAGACAAAGCAATAACATCTACATGGAGAAAAACATTTGACAGACCCTCTACTAAAAAGTTACACAATGCACATTCAAATAAAAACCTCTAATGTTGTATCTAATATAAACTGTCTAAATTTGTACCTGCTTCTGGTTGCAGCTCGATGGCTCTCGTCCGATCAGTGTGCGTTAGGTTTGATGACGTTTAGCATGTGGTGATTTTTACAGTTCAAAATCCACCGAGCTGGATTCATAAAGTGTACATAATATTCATGAATTTACTTTTATGCATTGTGACTTTTCAGTTTTTCAGGTGTTGATCCATTATGGGAAACTACATTTTATTTTTCAAAAGTGGAAGTTATAACATTTAAAACTTATGAGGAATGCCATTAGGTCACTTTTATGCACTTATAGGCCTATACGCATCTTTTCTGAATAAATTTGAGCACTGATCCATAATTAATACGGAGATTTAACCTTGATGTAACCTGATATGTGCCCCACTATAATGTAAATTAAGAGGAAGAATTTCTAATTTTGAGCCCCTTTAAAGTTACTATTAAACTATTAATTAATTATAAATAAAAATATAGACAGTTCTGACTTGTATTCATGTTTTTGGAAATAATAATAATAATCTAAAAAGTAGTATATCATTTGTACTTCCTGTTTACAGTTATTTGTGAAGGAGTACAGGTGACCTCATGGCAACATTGCTTGTGATACATCTAAAATGTCATTTGAACAGTATTTGCCTTGTTTTCAGATGGTGTACTTAAATTTTTTAAACATTTCTAACAGCATTTTCAAATTTCCTTTTTGAAACCGCCTTTTTTCATCAAACCTTTTAAGTTAAGGTTTCAGTTGAATCATTTTGAGTAAAGTCTGTTTTCTCCATCTGTGCATATATGTTGTATGTTGTTGTATATATGTGTATAGATCATCAGCGGGGGTCATTCGTTGAGTAGCACTGTCACGTCTCCTCGGTCAACGGTAAAACATCTCATCTGCGTCTGAACCCGCTCCACTTGTCACTTTTCACTCATGTTTAATTCACACTGAACAAAAACACACTAAACTATTAAAAAGGCTTGTATGGGACTTGATAATAGTGTGTAGTTTTAGGTCAATTTCTGATCAATATAAACATCCCAAGTCAATTTAAACATCTCATATTCATAATAGAAAATCTCTCTCTATATATACTACCAGTCAAAAGTTTTAGAACACCCTCATTTTTTGAGTTATTTATTTCAATTCAAGTCGTGCAAGTCCAGTGAATAGCTTGACATGGTACAAAGGTAAGAACTGAACAGCCAGAGATTAAAACAGTGATAAAAGATATAAAACACAAGTTCAAGCTCTTCCAAAACTACCTGAGGAATGGAGTGTCCAGCACAGTCTTAAACCCCATCGAGCTGGTTTTGGATGAACTGAACTGAAGAGTGAAACCCAAGCAACCTTCTGCTTGGGAAGAACTTTATGTAGAATACTTGATTTCCATTGTAAAAAGGACGAGCCACGAGTGTGTTCAGCTGTTATATCTGCCAAAGATGGACATTTTCGTGAATCAAAAATTTTGAATACGTTTTGGTCAACAGTTAACAGTAAAAAAACTAGTAAAAGTGTTCTAAAACTTTTGACCGGTAGTGTATATACAAAACAACTGTATTACTCAGTAGCTGCCTTGATTAACCAGTCTTAATGAATTTAAAAATAAACTGAGCCTTTTCCTTTAGTGTGTGTTTGAACCTGAAGTCATGCATGACATCACTGGGAACCAATAATTGCATGACTTCTGTGGGAAATGTCCTCAACCTTATCTATATTTACCGCCCCCTTATCGTATAGTGATGGTCACTGCACTAAGACACCTGTCAAGTCACATGAACTTATATAGTAACTTGCATGATATTATAGCTCACCAATCAACCACTTATAAGATTAGGTATGTATGTTGTTATATAATTCTCTAAATCACTAAGTATTAACTTGCAATTTTAACACGATTTTTATTATTTAATGCACTTAAGTATAAAACTAATAAATATTCTTGGTTATATTGTCTGCACCAAGCTCTGTTGTAAAGTCTAAGATCTTATTTAATAATTACTAGTAATAAAACTATAATTCAGACTAAGTTAAAGATGCCCTGTGCAACTTTTCCTGCTGTTGCCACTGAGATGTTATTGGCTTGTCTGGAATGAGCCTCAGTATACCTTTCTATCTTGCATCTGTTCAATTACAGGAGATTTTATAGCTCAAAAAAGGTTTAATGCCGTATTTGAGAACATTTCAGGTCAAGCAATAACATTTAAGTAGGTGCCATATCCTTTAGAAAAGTTACACAATGCACCTTTAAATAAGTTGTATGTCTATGAATTTGTTTCTGAAGGAGACTTTGCATTTTCCAGATGCATATTATTTGTCACTGGATTGTTAACCCCGCCTAGCAATAGTCTAACAAGAAAGAAAATCATTATTCACTTGACACATCCCCAACTATTTAATATAATAATATCTGCACATAATCAAAATTGTTTAGTGGTGTAATGTGTAACTGGTATTAACGTCCCTTCACTCCTCCCTAAATGTACATAAGGTTGAGTTTAATTTACATATTTTTTCCTGAACTTGTTTAATACCCCTCTCTCTGTCTCTCTCTGCCCCTCAGCGCTGCAGCAGCCCCTCCACCCCCAGTGGGATCCTGTCCCCGGTCAGCTCTTGTCCAGGGGAGGGGCAGCTGATCTGGGAGGATCGTCAGGGGCAGTGGCTGAGGCGGCGCAGGCTGGACGGGGCAATAAACAGAGTCCCAACCGGATTCTACCAAAAAGTCTGGAAGATCCTTCAGAAGTGCCACGGACTGTCTATAGATGGATATGTACTGCCCTCCTCCACCACCAGTGAGGTACATGGAGTTACAAGCATTTAGGATTGGTGTGTTTTAATTTAATTTATACTACTGACAAAAAGTATGTGTAAACCTTCAAAAAAAAAAAAAAAAAAAACTCTATTATTGACTTACATTACACCTCATGATTGAAATGACATTGTTCTCTTTGTGTTTGGACTTTTTTTTTTTTTAACTGGGAAAGCCCATGGGAGACCATACTGCCCCCATCTATAAGTCTTTATGCTAAATTAGATTACAGTTAGATTACATTTGAACACTTCATTTTCCAAAAATCTGGTGAACTTGCTCATTAATGGACATCTCCCAGTATTTTGTATGTTTTGTGTAGTGGCTATTTATACAAATAGAAAAATAAACAAAAGTATTGAGCAAACTCAGAACTAAACATAACTCAAATAATCACTTTTGAGCACCATGGGTTTGTGGTTTACGCAGTGAAGGAAAAAACAATATCAATATCCATGACCAGAGCTGTATTTCCAAGATTTATTTCCAATTTTTAGGCAAACAACAAGGATACATGATTCTTGCTGCCTCTCCTGTCAACTGGTAAAAAACCATAGACCCACCTAGGTGCACCCGGGTCTATGTGTACCACCCTTCTTTATCCCATAGGTGACCCACAGATTAAACCAAAACAGAAAAGGTGCTAAAGTAAACAATACCAAATTAGACTAAACAAATTAGCAAACATAATATTAACATAGCAAATTAACAAAACTAAATTAGTAAATTAATTGACAAACAAAAATAATAGACTAATTTTAGAATAAACAAAATAAGCAAATAGCTCCTACAGTTTAGCTATATAGACTAGTAATTATAGTTGGGGTGACTAATTAGATTCTGTACTCCCAGACCCTCCATCTAGACACTCTTCTGGTGTTTATTTGATATGGAGTGGTCTTCAAGACAAAAAAGCCATGTTTCAGTTTTACCATAGATTTCTTTCAGAGTACAATGGTACAGCACAGTTTTATTAATATTTTCCTACAAGTATTAGAGTATAAACACCTATCTTACCTATCTATTCTTTACTTTATCTTTTTTTTCTTATGCATTAGTCCACCATAGTTTCCTCTTTTAATGGGATACACTGTTTTGTTGCTTCTAGATGACGGCTGGAGAGATAAAGTTTGCCGTGCAGGTGGAGTCCGTGTTGAACCACGTGCCTCAGCCTGAGTACAGACAGCTGCTGGTGGAGACGATCATGGTGCTGGGGCTGGTCGCAGACGTCGACGTGACCACCATTGGGAGCATCATTCACGTCGACCGAATCCTGCATCTGGCCAACGATTTCTTCCTCAGCGACCAGGTACGAAAAATTACTAAGGAGAAATATACAGTAGCTGACATTTCATAATAACTACACCTTAATTAGACTTACTTAAGCATGAAGAAAGACTTAAGAGCACTGTACTTAATTTTTACTGTCTTAAACACAACAAAAACAGAACTAGTTCATTTTAAATGGTTTGTAGTGGTTCAAAGTTATTCCTCACTGAGTTTATGCATTCCAGGCATCCTAATTATTCCCAGCGACGATTTTATAAGCATTTTTTAACTTTCAAAGACCATCCATTACTGTAATGCTTAGAACTATGATGCTAGCCACACACTTTGATTTACAATTAGGCGATGACTGTGCACAACTGGCATATTTTGACCTCAAGAGCTGCTTATTAAATATGTCTGGATTGGGGCAAGACAAATTTTGCTCAAATACATAAAAAAATCAGCAAAGGCCCTTTTATAAAGAATTTGTTGGTTATGAATTACTTTCTTCATGCTGTATTCAGGGTGTAGTGTTATGAAGAGTTACCAAAATATCTACAGAAATGTGTCTAATGCTAAATCTAAAAGTAGATCTAATTGCAGATGAATGATTATGTGTATTTATGATGTATTTTGCTTTGAAATTCAGAAGTCCATAAGTGCTGGTGACTACTTCTTGGAAAAAGACCCAGCGACAGGCATCTGTAACTTCTTCTACGACAGCGCCCCCAGTGGCAGCTACGGGACAATGACCTATCTGTCCAAAGCCACGGTCACTTACGTCCAGGATTTTCTGCCCAATACAAGCTGCATGGTACAGTGAAGACTCCCCCCATTTGAACATGTGACTAAACTGGTACAAAACTACAAGAAAATGCACTTTTAGTTTTCATAATATTAACAGCTCTGTTGTAGTCATGGCAATTGCTAAAAACAGAAAATTTTAATCTTTGCATTGGTAAAAAATTATATATTTGTGCTTACAGTGATTAGCATGTGTAGTTAAAAGTCTAAAACTAAAATTTTTTTATATGAACCGATTTAAGACCATAATAGGACAAAATCATTGAACTAAGATTATTCATGACTGAGAGCTGTGTAATCCTGTATAACAAAACAGTTTTTATTTATTAATATTTTATTTTAGTGGTATGACATTTTAGACAACCATTATGTGTCCATTTAAATCCACTGTGTTTTACATAATGTTAAGTGAACACTGAAGTGACTCTACTGTTGTTTAACCATGGTAACACTTTTTAATGAATGAAAAGTATTTTATTTTTACTGTGAGCTTTTGCATGGCTGTGATTGTGGTGAGTGAAGTCTACAATAGAAGAATCGTGTAACCAATTTATTTTATTTAAAGTAATATATATTTCAGAATATTTAACTATATAGGGTATATATTAATTTAATATGTGTCAATAATATAACGTATAAAAGAATTTCGTCAAATGATCCTACGATGTCTGTTTTGTTTCTTCAGAGATTTTCAAGACCACATGGCATCAGTTTTATGTTTTTATTCACTAGCAAGGACCACACAATTGAATACGATAAATATATTTATTGATGGCTGATAGATGTGATGGCTGGGGGAGACTTAGGGTGGGGGTTCCGTCTCCAATCCAAGATGCTCACCTATCTGATTCAGAACCCCGGTGTCTTCGGACTGAAGGATGGACGAAAGACACAGGTGGGATGGAGGGGGTTGAGAGAGCTGACCCGCACAGTGTTGTTGGGATAGTCCGTATAAATGGGCTTCTGGGTAATTGAAGGCGTGTTTGAGATAAGCTGTGGTTGGCTGGAGAGAAGGTAGAGGCGTGGTCCAGCTCCTGAATCTTAATTATCAAATCAAATCAAATCAAACTTTATTTATAAAGCACTTTTCATACAAAATGCAACACAAAGGCTTTACAGTGATTAAAAACAGTCCCGCATTTCCAACCACCCAACCACCCACCCACCAACCCAACCCAGCACCCCCAACCCACATAGTCAAACAACCCAAACACACTCACATACACACAAACATGCACACACACACACACACACACACACACACTCACACTCACACTCACACGCTAAAACAAACCGGACACAATAAAATGTGAGGTACAGGGAGTTTAGAAAGCACCATCAGAGGAGGTCTGCACCGGAGCAGAGAGACGTCCACCACCACCAGGAACCCAGAGGGTCCAGGGGAGAGATGAAGCCCAGGCACCTGAGGCCCAAGTACCATCCCTCCACCAGGAGCCCACATGACAGACCCAGCAGCCACAGCTGACCTCCACTCCCGATGGAGGGCTCCTACAGAGGAAACACTGGAAATCCTAAAAATATCCTAAGATAAATAATATGTAAAATGTGTACAATAAAAACAATAAAGTGGATTTCAATCAAAAGCTAAGCTAAAAAGGTGGGTCTTGAATAAAAACATGAACGTTCTCTGCAGCTGAGTCCGGCAGGCAGTTTAGACGAGAGTGCTGAAAAGACGCCTCTCCGTGAGTGTGTGTCCTGACTTTGGGAATGACCAGGGCTGCCAGAGAGAGGGTGCGAGGTAGAGCAGCGTGGTCCAGCTCAATGCTGATTTTAAAATCAATGTTAATTAATTAATCATATTAACTCCATTATACAAAAAAAAATACAAAATAAAAAAAAACAATCACACACAAAGCATTCACAAGATGCTATTGAATTGAATAAATAAGGATTTATTAAGAAAGCTACTACTAGACCACACATATTTGATTGTGATTGACATTTGATCACGTCTGTTTCTGCTTCAAATGTATAACTTTTTGGGAGCCAGAAGACGATTTAGATTTTCTCACAGTTCATGATGTACACTTTGTATTTTTCATTGCTTTTAAGAGGTAAATAAATCCGTCTGCTTCTTCTAAACTGTGACTGGTTAAACCCAATAGTCACTCACTCAACCAGTCAGAGAAATAGTTGGGAAAATGTGTACATGTTTGAGCACACAGCTTTATTAAATCTAGAAATAGTGGATTCTGATACGACCAAAGTAGCATATCACTTCAGGGAATATATCGCAGTTTGATTTTTATCAGAATATTGCTCTGGCCTGCATGGTTCAGTGAATACAGCCCTAAACAGCTGATATCCGTGGGACACACTTGCTCCAGCTGTAGGTGGAGAGGCGGTGGGAGGGGGGACAGGAGCATTTAAACGTCCCTCTTCGGTTTATACACAGATGGGAGCAGCCGCCATTGTTCTCACTGCATTCATTTATATCTGAGCAGAAAGAAACAGGAAAAGTAAAGTTAGATTTTAATTATGTCACATTTGTGCACGGCTTTTGGTGCCGTAACAGGTCCCAGGTGTTTCAGCCATTGTCTCAGATACAGATTACGCCTCTCCTAATTTTCCGAAGAAGATACTGACGGTTGTACACTAATCACATTAAAATGAAAAATCCTATTTAGCCTGTAGGTATCAAGATTTTAAAC